ATTTATTTGATGTAACTAAATTTTTATAAGATGTTTCCGAAATATTAATGTTTTTTAGTCATTTGGATGAATCAAAGATTTTCCTTAATAATAAAGCTATATAAAAAAACCACAAATTAAACATAGACAATCTTTTACGATTAGCTGAAACTACTGAGATTTTATGAGAAAATCCCTAGAAACACTAGTATAAAAATAAAATTGAAGCCAAATTAAATATAATAAATCATTTCATAACCATAAAAATACAAGATAATCCTCATACCCTAGATGATCAAGAAGAATTCAAAAAACAAATCAAAGAACTTTATTGCTAAAAGTAATAAGAAAAAACAATAGTAGATATAAGAGTCCAGCTTTTATGGTTATAAATCGTGCTAAAATAAAAAGAGAAAAAGCTCGTATGGTTATAAATTATAAAAGATTAAACGATAATACTTATGATGATAGTTATAAAATTCTTAATAAAGAAATCCTAATAAATCGAATACAAAATAGAAAATGGTTTTCTAAATTTGACTGCAAATCAGAATTTTGGCAAATCCGTATGGCTGACAAATTCATTGAATGGACCGCATTCACATGTCCTGAAGGACATTACGGGTGGTTTCTTATGCCCTTTTGATTAAAAAATGCACCACAAGAGTTTCAACGAAAAATTGATACTATATTCAATAAACATTCAAAATTCTGTTGTGTTTATATAGACGATATTCTAATCTTCAGTTAAGTTAAAGAAGAGCATAAAAACATCTTGAAATTATATTAAACAAATTTATAACACAAGGACTCATTATAAGTAGTAAAAAGATGATATTAGAAAAATAAGACATTGAATTCTTAAGTTTATACACAAAGGATGGAAAAGTGGAATTACAACCACATATTGTGCATAAGATTTTAGATTTTCCAGATAAATTAGAAGAAACCAAGTTATTACAAACATTTTTAGGATTATTAAATTATGGCCGCAATTTTATTCCAAAATTAGGACAACTAGTAGGACCATTGTACTCAAAATTAGGTAAAAATAGTCAAAAATATTTTAATATTCAAGACATAGAACTAGTTAAGAAAATTAAATTTTTAGTCACTCAGTTAGAACTCTTACAACTCCCAATTGAAAATAGTTGTAAAATAATTCAAACAGATACATCGGCTCAAGGATGGGCAGGTTTACTTCTTAAAAGGCTTACAAAAGAATCTTTTCGAGACAAAGAACAAATTTATCGCCATGCTAGTGGAATTTTTAATAAAGCACAATCTACTTTACCCTCAACAGATCTAGAAATTTTAGGAGTAACCAATTCTATTGAAAATTTTCAGATATTCTTTGATAAAGAATTTCTTATAAGAACAAATAGTGATAACATTGTCAAATTTGCAAACAAAGTAAAGCAAGAACGGATGTCTAAAAAAAGATAGATTTTCTTTATTGACTGTGCTGATAGTAGTTCGTGAGTAGGATAAGGAGATCGTTCCACGTAAGCCAAGAAATCTAAAATCAGTATCCAAGTGGAGATCCAAGCAACACAAGGGATTCTCTAGGTATGGAGATTAAGAAAGGAAAGGCCGACCTTGGTACCGTATGAGCTCGAGCTTGTCAGAGAATAGCTATTAATGTGGGTAGTTGTGTTTTAAAGGCTGATTAGCACCCCTATTTATAGTGTTTACCTCCTCGGTCAATGTCTCTTAGTCCTTTGGGTGAGCCCGTTCTTACCCAAGGGTTCAAGGGTCTCTCCTTCTGACGGATGAGACATTGATGGATGGGCCGCGACGCTTTACCCCATAGTCTTCCTTTCTCAAGCTTAGGTACTGAGTATCCTTTCCCCCTTGTGTTGGCCTCGGGCTGAGGCGAGCCCTTGGATCTTAGCCACCTATCCACATGTCCTCAGATTCCCGTGCTTCAGGGGGGATAGGTCCCTTTCAAGGTCCTGCCTTCATGACCTCGCAGGGTTCTATCCCAACTTTATCCCGAAGCCTTCTTAGTCGAGAAGAGAAGTGTGTAAAACAGGTTAGTTGAGGCCGCTCTTTCAGAGAGCACCCTCGAGTAAGCCAGGGGGGGAGGAGCCCATCCGAATGGAGCGGGGTGCGTCCACAGTAGAGGAAGGGTAGGGACCCCTTCCTCGGCCAACGAGTTCAGTTATCGGATAGGTAGCTCGAGAATACCTAATCCACTGTAGACACGCCAGGTAAACGTTGGCCAGTTATGCCTATGTTGCAGAGGTGGCGCCACTTAATCAGCTATCGTGGCGCGGTTATCAACAGACTGTATTACTGGAAGAGGTTTTAAACCCATATTCGAACATGTCAAATGAAAGAAAAATTATTTAGCAGATATTATATCTCGTTTACTAATTGATTGTTAAACTTTGAAGGAATGTAAACGAATAGTAACAACAGTTATAGCCTTATACCGGGCACTTCTAATCCTCTTTTAATTATCCAAAACCTAGCTCAACAGTTCCGCGCTAGACATAATCTTTTTCCTGACCAAAAACTTATTTTAAATAATATTTGGTTTTCAATAAATAATCCAGATAGAACCCTCGTTAGAAATTTAAATACTTTAAGTGAATATTTTGCAGCATCTAACAAAACATATCATACTCTACAGCAAGAACATGAGACACTTATATCGCATTTTAAAAAGTTGAATTTAGCTTATCAAAAAACAACAGCAAATCCCACAGAACTAACCATTTATGATAAATGACTAATGAAGATGAAAATCTTTATAAAGTTCAATTTTTGCAGGTACAAACCAAGTATGCCAAATTATTACCCATTTTCTCTCCAACTTACAAAAAAATCCTAAGACAACAAGTTGAGCTCTTCCCTAATGACATCAATGAACTTATCATTGAAGAAGCTAAGTCTGATGGTTTCAAATAATGGGTTGATATCCAAAACTACCTCAGAAACAACAGTCTATCTAAAGGAATCCGATATCATTATTATTTCTTAAGATTTATACAAACTGGCAACTACATACCTACCATCATCTTGTTAGACGTAGACATTGTTTTCTTCTATCCTATTGAAATAACCAAAAAAACCTGTTTATCTACAAAAACTACCACCTGTTACTTAAACAAGCTCTTAGAATTAAGAATGGCCAACAACATATTTTTACCAAAAGACATGCCATTGGAATATCTAAATTCCTTAGGTAATTTTCTTAATCGATTAAACCAAGTCATTGCTTTCGAACAAAAATAAACCCATAATTTCATACCGGAAAGTCCAATTATCCTTCAAATCCATTGTACTCCTCTAGAATGGGTAAAGGATGGAGCTATAATTTTGGGACAACATCAAATTTACATTAATTCTAATCTTGCAGAAGTCCAAGTTCTTACGCGACTTATCGATTTTGTGAATAACTTTCGTAATATAGAACCAACTACCTTTAACCATTTGGTTTATTATAAAGCCTATCGTCAGGTTAACTCAAGCTACAACCTTGGTTTCAGACTCTACGACCATAATATAAACATGGAAATTTTCATCAAAGCCAGAATTCCCTATGTCATCAGATCTCCTCCAGAAATTGAGATATTTCCAGAAGTTAAAGAAATAATAAATGAAGAAAAGATGTTGCTTAAACAGTTCAAACTCGCCTACAGAAATGAAAAAACCAGTTCACCTGACAGCACTGATACATATGTGGCCCGCAGAGATGACAGCCCACCAGAGAGCAATACCGACAGAAATTTGTCCAATATGCTAAATTTCTAATAATTGCAAAGAGCATCCAAGGAAAAGCAGATTTGTAACATTGTACAGATAAAAACAGATCCATCGAAAGCAAATTCTCAACAGTAAAAGTTGATAAGACTCTCCAGAAGCAGACATCAACAGTTCAGTAATAATTCAAACCATCTTATCTCTAAAGCATCTTGCATCTCAACCGTCTATGCAGCATCTGCAATCTTAACCGAAGATTCATCTCCCACTTTTCCTATAAAAGGAGCCTCTCTACTCAAGCGAAGATCATCTAGTTCTAGAGCAATCAAGTTAAGAGTCATCAAGCATTCCAACCTTTAGCTATAGTTTCATAGTGTGCTTTCTTTATTTCAGAGTGTTCTTTTTTTTGTAAAATATTGTGTGAGAGTGTATCCATTTAAAAACAGTGTGTATTAATGTATATATTTCTTATGAAATAAATCTTTCAGTTTGCTCTTATTCAAAACTTCCTTATCCCTATTTAGTATTTTAAGTACTTTTAGACAAAAGACTTCAGTCGACAAAAAGATCAAATATATAGATTTTATTTAGCCAGACAGTGTAGATCCTAGAATTTTCTTGAATCCAACCAGTACAAGCAGCCTTAGTTTTAATTTAACAATTTTTTCTGTGAGTTGACTCGAACTGTTGGCTTGTCGGCCCGTTCTTGCCCGTGTTTAGGCGTTTTTACAGGGCGTTATCAGAGCGTTATCAGGTTCGACAGTCATTTCTGTGATTTAATTATTAATTTTATCTTTATGTTATTTGCATGTTTCTATCCGGTTAGATTGAACTTAATTTTGGTATTAGAGCCTATACTGCTTCGTTAAATTTAATTTATACATAAGATATTTTGTCTAAAGAAATCTATAAGTCCAAATTAATCTATTGTTGAAATTTTAATTTAGTGAGAAAAATATTAAAAAGTTTGTTCAAGGATTTTTCCGTAAGCTTATTTCATGTTTTAAGGCTTTTATGTTATAATAAAATATAATTTGGGTCATTATAGTAAAATAGATTATTGTGTGGTCCAAAATAAAATTTAAGTCCATTTTATAGAAAAATTGTGTGGTCTTTCCATCTTTAAAAAAAAGTTTGCGTGATCCTTTTATTTTCTTGATAAATCAAGAATTTGACTCCATTACATTGTCGAATGCTTTCAATTGATGTGTATCTTTTGTTGAGTGTATTATGTATGTCCAAAAGATATATATGCATATCTATGGATTTATATTTAAATAAATTAATTAATAAATGAAAAAGACACACACTTCCCAAGTACAAATAACATTTTCCACGGACGATTCTCTCTCTTGTGGAAGAAGGAAGAAAAAAGAGCTGAAAGATGAGAGCGCGAGCAAAACCAAACCGTTGAAATTTGTCTACTTGATTGAAACGCTGTATAAATTTAGAAATTGAAGCCACATTTGGTCGATAAACAAATATAAAAAAAAAAAGTGAGAGAGATGATGTTCGGCAGTGAGGGCGGTGGTGCTGGTGGAGGAGGGAGAGAGAAGGAAACCCTAGGTCGTCTGACCCACTTGATGATGCCTATGCCGCTGCAGCTTGACCCGGCGTCGATGTCCTCGGTCGGCGGTGGCGACGATGACTTCCCGAAGAGGGATGAGAGGGTGCCTCAATGGAGCCAACAGGAGACCAGAGATTTCATCGCGATCCGTGCCGAGCTGGAGAGGAACTTCACCGTCTCGAAGCGGAACAAGACTCTCTGGGAGGTCGTGTCCACCAGGATGAAGGAGAGAGGGTACAGAAGGAGCCCCGATCAGTGTAAATGCAAGTGGAAGAACCTCGTCAATAGATATAAGGTATATATACCTATCCCGTCTGGATATGATCGATCTAATTGATTTAACTTTCATATTTAGATTTACACCTTTCGGCTAATGGGATTAAAATGTAGCTTTAGAATTTTTATAATTTTATCTGCAAATTGCAATTGCTCTTTGTTTTTTAATTTCAGATAAATCAGAAAATGTATCATTATTACTGCGAAACTTCTCTATTTCTTCCATTTTGATCAGTTTATTCAAACTTATTGTTTGGTTACGAAGAAAGAACTCTAGAACTTTTTATTTTTTTCGAAAATTAACTCTAGAACTTTGAGGGTTAGGTCAAGACACCTGTTTTCCTATTGTGGGTATGGGAAATTAGGACGAGGTCATGTGGATGCCGATGAGACAGGGACCCCACATCACTGACAAAAGACAAGGAGCCTGATATGGCAAGCATCTCCAGCTGTGGACCACCTTGAGGTCCGGCCAGCCGCAAGGAGATGGAGGGCCCTCTACCTTCAGAACTCCTCCTCCTCCAAGGAACTCGGGGGTCCTCTTTCTTTGGAGCTCCTCCAAGGAGCTCCCTACCTTCAGAGTCCCTCTTACTCCAAGGAGCCCGAGGGCACTCCGACTTCAGAACTTCTTCTACTTCAAGGAATTCGAGGGCCCTCTGCCTTAAGAGTTCTTCTCACCTCAAGGCTCTTGGCCCTATAAGTTCTTCTTTTAGAGGAGCCCCTCTCTACATACAAACCTCTTCTGGCAAAGAGTTCTCCTCTACCAATAAACCTCCAAAGGAGTTCCTCTCTACGGATAAATCTTTTTTGGCAAGGAGCTCCTCCCTATGGATAAACCTCTTATGGCTAGGAGTTTCTCTCCACGAATAGACCTCTTTTAGGAGGAGTTCCTCTCTATGGATAAACCTCTTGAGGAGTCTACTCTCTATGGATAAAACGTCATGACACTCGGTGGTCTCACGGGGGTAGGACCTCGAATCAATGTCTAATGGGAACCTAGAGGGTGTTAACCTCGTGGCTGAAGTACAAGGAACACCTAGTAACAAGGCCTCGCCCTTTTATTTGGGATAAGAAGGCTTCACTCAACCTGTCACAAAGGAAAGAAGAGAATCTCCGAGGGTAGGATGAACTCTTTTCTCGCATTTAACGCGAGCTCCGATATTGCATTTAAGGTGAATTCCCTTCATCCATGTCCTATAGATGGATAAAGATTATAAGGTAAATTACACAGACACCCCTTGAGGTTAAGTCATATTTCACCTGGATGAACATTTTGGTTTTAACTTTCACTCACATCCCAATTTGCTTTTTGGACTTTGACATATGTGAATTGACCCATTTACCCTCATTTTTTTAATACAATTTAATATAAAATTTCTCCAAACTAAAATGGCAAGAATACCCATATGTAATACTAATATTCCAAATCACTCTCTCTCTCTCTCTCTCTCTTTTTCTCTTTCTCTTTCTCTTTCGTTTTCTCTCTCTCTCTCTCTCTCTTCCTTCTGCTCTATCTATCTACAAAAAATAGGCAACAGCTGCAGCACCACTCCAAGACTTCGGAGACTACCGTTGAAGTCACCATCGCTGCCCCCATCCACTGTCATTCAAGTCTCCATCGCTGCCCCCTTCCACTGTCATTCAAGTCACCATCGCCATCACAGGTTGGCCCTCATAGGTAATCGCAGGTTCCTTCCCTGATCCGAAGCGTCAACGCGTGGAGAATGTACAACAACAAATATCTGATCGTCGGATTTCCATTGCTCAAGTCGGTCAGAGGGTCTCATCTCAACACCGGCGAAACCAGGAAGCTTGTTCATCGTAAAAATCAGTGAGAGCCATAACTTGCTTTATAAACGTGAATACCGGTGAGCCCATCAATGTGAAGACCAGTGCTCGACCAAACTGGAAAGCACCATGGACAACTACAAAACCAGATGGTGAAGAAAGACCCAACCGGTGATGCTACAAGCTCCATCAGTGTGCTCAAACTTACTGGAACGGCGATGCGTGAACGTAACGTGCCCCTGCTGTTGGTGCAAGTAGACTTGATGTGCCGCGTGGGTTGAACGCACCAAAATCGTAACGTCCATCGCTGCAACTCCGACGGCGACGGCAATTCGGGTGGCGACGGTGCAAATGGTGTCGCATTTGAATTCTGGCGAAGAACAAGTATCTAGTCAAACTCGCCACCACCGGATTATGTTGCGTCGAGAAGTGAGCTGCTGTGGCAGTGCGGCGGAGATGGTGGACTGAACAACGAGATGTATTGGGAAAAAAAAAATCCTGAACGGTAGCCTCAGTCTTGCAATGATACTGGACATACGATTGAATCAAAAATTGGCATGGGATGGGTATGGGGTTTTTGTTTTGTTTTGGGTGGGAGCGGTGGTGATAAAGGTATTGGGTGGGGCAGTGCCGCAGTGGTGATGGAGTTTTTGGGTGGGGCAGTGTTGGTAGTGGCGGAGATGGAGGTGTAGGGCGGGGCAGTGGTGATGGAGGTGTATGTTGGGGGTAGTTTTGTCAAAAAAATATTCAAATAACCTTTTCCAAGTCAACAGCAAATCAAATGGGTAGCATAGTCATTTAACACCTCAAAAGTACTCTGACCCCACCAAAAATTGACATTTTTTAATATTTGGAGTGTAAGTGAAATACTAAACCATTATTTCAAATATGAGTGAAAATTAAAACCAAATTGTTCATATAGGTGAAATAACCTCAAGGGGTGTCTGTGTAATTAACCCAAGATTATAAAATAGTGTTTATGTCCTCCAATCTTTATCCACCTTAAAAGTAGTATAAATAGGGAGTTAATGTTTCATCTAAACCCAAGAACAACCACCCAATGTTGCTCATAAAGCCTTTGCTATAACCTTGCTTTGAGGGAGATTATGAAAGGAACCCCCGCACTCTCCTTGGTGCTCACTGTTCGAACCCCTTTGTGACAGCTCGGATTTCCACCTAGGTCTCTATTCTCTGGTAACCCTTATTGTGGAAAGAGAGATCTCATCTACTAGAACCTCACACAAACACCTATCAATTTCCTTATTTTAATAAATATAAATTGAGGTTCTTGCAATACGATAGAAGAAACCCGATCCCCTTCACCTCAGTCTTTTAAGGACCAACTCCATACCACTATGCTAACATGGCATTGTTAACTTGAGGATGGAATTGCAATCAAACTTAACAAAACTAGATATATAATTGGGGGTAGCTGAGGTTGAGAATCTTAAGTTTGATTGTTCAAAAAAGGGGGAGAGAACGAAGATGACGTTACTCGTAGAATTAAAGCAAGACGTGCTATAGAGGGTAACTTATATTATATCATGTGATCAATGTATACTTCTAGCATTAAAAGTCAATGATATAACTATGTTTTATTATGGACAAAATATTGGCAGAGAAGAAATAACTTGTTCATAAATGAGCGGGGTCGAAATGCAAATTTGTGATGGATGTGTGAGAAGATAAAAATAATGATATTAGAAATTATTATATTTCTCAAGTGATTGAAGTAGATCTATTGGAGATAAAATGAGAGAAAATTGTTTGAAATGATTTCACCATGTACGATACAGACTAATAATTGCACCCAAGAAGCATGATGTGATCCACATTGAGGGTAATGTCAGCCAAAAACAAGTAGTATTAATATAAATCAAGATGGTAAAAAACAATATGATAGCATATAGTAACTGAAATTATGACCTTGAACAGTGCAACACATGAAAAAAGGCAAGAACTTAGTTATTAGTAGATTTAATATGAACTGTGATAGTAAAATGATATGATGGCATATGGTTTAACTGAAATTAAGCAAAATGGTGAAACAAGATTCATCAAATAGACCATAAATAGTTGGTATAGGAATTCGCTAAGTCAAGTTGAGTAGGGTTGCAATCAATTTCATACTCAAAAGTAACAACAGTGCAACTTGGTACTTCCCAAGAAATTAGTTAAGTTAGTCTTAAGGTGCTAGTGAGTAGCATATAAAGGGAATCGTTTTTTACTATTGGTATATCTAAAATAGACACTGCTTACATATGAGTAAAAGGAAAAAAATATATATATTAATATATTTTGGTTCCTGTTTGGATGCACCTAGAAAAAGTATATTCTTTAAGACATAGAATGAGAAAGATTCCAGATAAAACACATTTGCTATAGCGGAGTTTATTTTTTCTTTTGTATTTGAAAGATTCTAAAGTCACTCAGGTTTTTTTCATGACTTGGATTTTGCAAATGATGGCTATTGTCAATCTAAAGTTAAAACTGCAAGTAGGTTTCTGGATGTAATGAGGGACGTCTTGGAGAATGTGGTTTCATTATTTCTGAATCTTAAGAGTTACATTAAATGTGATGAGTTTTTTTATGTTATTATTAATCTTCATTGGTTTTACTTAATATATCTATCACGTTCATACTTATCAAATAAATATATATATGTATATATATATATATATCATTTTCATGTTCTCACAAAAAAAATGCATTACCTAGCATATGTTCTGGCTTTGCAGGATGCTAGGAGGTAAGGCTAGAGAATATAGATAGACCTAATTCTTGGAATAAATTTGCACACGTTGACTGCTTTGAGAGTCATAATTTCTAAGCTTCAGAGTTACATTAAATTTGACGTGTTGTTTATTGATTCAGTTTTGAGTAGTATATATCATGTTCCTAAATATAAAAAAAGGTGCATTACCCAGTGTATATCCTGCCTATGCGGGCTACGAGGTAAGCCTAGTAAAGAAGACCTAAGTTTTGGAATAAATTTGCACACAATGACTGCCTTGAGACTCACACCCGGGTTTTCAAACTTATCATACTGAGTTTATCCATATCATATTCTTACACCTCAAGTATAAAATTTTGAAGGCCGAGCTTGAATTCTTTGAATTTGTGGAACACGCTCTTCACATGGGATTACATCCCGTGTTATTAAACAGTTGCCAAATTGTAAGGAAGAAAAATGGCTAATATAAGTATTTGGTTAACTTATAAAAATAAAATGAAAATAATTTAATGTATTTATTTTTATATTTTAAATTCCTATTTTTTATAATAATTTTGTGGGAGGGTTGAATTTGATTCTAATCAAAGTTTTCCAGCTTTTTGCTCACTCACTTTTTGCCATTTCGCTACACAAGGATTAAGTATTCCAGGTCTGAGGCTCCTGGTTGCAAAATCCATAGCTGATTTTAGATATATATATATTTCAAACTTTGAGCTTTGACGTTATCAAAGACGTTTCATTTCTGAAAGTTGCAAATAATTGGCAATATTTTACATGCTAAAATGGTGTTGCATGGTAATATGCATATGTAGAAAGAATAAATTTCTTCCCTATGAAGCATTTAATGGAAATAAGTACAAAAAATTAAAAATAAAGAGTAGGAAATGAACATTCTTAGAAGTGCACAACAATCATGGAAACTAATAAATAAGTACTCAGATTTTATTTTGTTCAAAGTTTTGGTTCCTTACCTCAGGTAGGCTCAGCAGAGTAAGGGTTTTATTTTTTCCATTTCTTTTCTTCCCTGGTATTTGTATGGCAAATGGAGGAATTAAAGTTTTTGGGTTTACCTATGAAGTTGAGTTTATAACTTCAAAGTTTACTAACATGGGTTATGGCGCATTTCATTGTATCTAAAATTCCAATTTTACTTTAAGTAGGTTAAGGAAGATTATTGTCCTTTTCTTTTTTCAAGTTAGTTCCGCTGAATCTCCTAGTTTTTAATGATTAGTGGTAAATTTCCATGATTTTATCTTTAACTTTTATTGATTAATTCAGGGAAAGGAGACATCTGATCTGGATAATGGCCGGCAATGCCCATTCTTTGAGGAGCTTCATGCAGTCTTCACTGAAAGAGCAAAGAACATGCAGCGATCACTTCTTGAATCGGAGGCTGGTTCCATGCAAGCAAAAAAGAGGGTAAAGAGAATTAGTGGAGATCAATCCTCAGAAGAATTATCAGAAGATGAAAATGAGTATGAAGGCCGGAGTGACGAGGAGAGAATCACAAAAGGCAGCAATTCTCGGAAAAGGAAGACAGAGAAAGAGAAGCGGTTGCAAACAGCAGCATTGGACAAGTCTTCAGGACAACCTAATACAGGTAATATTAACAGTAGTGGTAGTAGCCTCAATGGTATTCAAGAGATGCTTCGGGAATTTTTTCAGCAGCAACAGAGGATGGAGATGCAGTGGAGGGAGTCAATGGAGAGGTGTGCCCATGAGAGGCAGTTATTTGAGCAGGAATGGCGACAGTCAATGGAGAACATTGAAAGGGAGAGGCTGATGGTAGAGCAAGCATGGAGGGAGAGGGAAGAACAAAGGCGGATGAGAGAAGAAAGCAGGGCAGAGAAGAGGGATGCCCTCTTAACAACACTTTTGAACAAACTCGTCAATGAAAACAACCTTTGAGGCATAATGGTTGAGAGGGCCTCTGAATGGCTCTTTTTATATACTCCTGAACATTGTGACATTGTGCAGGTATAAGCAGCTATAGTTGGTTAGTTGATCAATTGGAGAATACATGGGAAGCGAGAATTTAAAGTGTAGACACCAAGCATATAGACAGTTTCTCTTAATTTTGGTATACAAAAAAAGGACTTCTATTAGCTAATACAAAAGTTGGATATTGTTTTAGGATCATAAGAGCAGTTATTACAGCTTGTGGGAATTACAATCCTGAATGGCAGGTGTAAGATTTTAGAGAGATTGTGTAAGTTTTTGCTATCAAGTTGAGTTGGGTGGGGATTGGTTTTCCGAAGGAACTGTTGTTTTGAATGCATAAAAAGTTGTTCATGTTTATGCATTAATGTTTCCCGCTCGGGTCGCTCTTCAGCCTAGTTTGTGTAAGTTTTTGCTGTCAATTTGAGTTGGGTGGGGATTGGTTTTCTGGAGGAACTCTTGTTTTGAATGCGTAAAAAGTTGTTCATGTTTCTGCATTAATGTTTCCCATTCAGGTTGCTCTTTAGCCCCGGCAAGGCCTTTTTTAATTAGGTTTATTTTGAAACACAGTATATCGATTGATTTTATTAATTGTTCCAATCGGACATACATTTCCAGCATTTACCAATGGACCTGTGCCCGCTCCTTGTCTGAATGTTGATAATTCTATTTCTTGTACCTGGACTTATTTTCCCAGTTTAAATGTATCCCATCTCTTTATTGTTTTTGCTCTCTTTGCCCGGGAGTAAGTTACTTTTATTGTTGTGTTGTTTCCGTTCATATGTAATTATAAGTACTTATAATTGGAAAACCTTATGATATGTAGCAATCGGTCCCTTCTCTTTGTTTAATTACTCAGACGTACTTATAATTGGGAACCTTATGATATGTCCGTTTTCTTTGTATAATTACTCTTGACAGTTAGAGGCACTTATAATTGGAAAGGAAAATGATAATTTTGACGAAACTTTCGTACCCAAAGAAAAGAAGATTTTGACGTGATAATACAATAATGATTGTTTCCAATCTCTCTCATTAGAGATTAAATGCAATATATTTTTCAAACAAAAATATCCTTTTAGTTTTTAGTTTTCTTCGCCATATAGAGAAAAAAAATTTCAATATATAAACGGAATATATATATATATATATATATCTACAAAATTCTTTTTTCTTGTGAGAGACTCAAATGATTTTTTTTTTCTTTTCTGTCATATGAAAAATCATTAAATAAAAAAGAAGAAAGAAATATGGGAAACAAGAAGACGTGATAGTAAATATTAAACACTCATTACCAACGGGCCAGTGGCCTAGCGATATCAGCCTCTTATTTTTTAAAAGGAGGTTACGGGTTCAAATCTTGAAAGAGACAAGTGTGTGTGAATACTAATTAGGAAAAAAAATATATATATATTAAACATCCTTATTGAACACTAATTCTAAAAAAATTTATCTCCTAAAATAAATCTTCTTTTTTTTGTTTTCTCTCTCCTTATCATCATTCAACCTTTCTATTAAACTTTAAGAAATTATTTATCTCCTAAAATATCTCTTCTTTTTTTTTTTTCTTTTTTTTTTTTTATTTTTTTATCTCCTAAAATATCTCACTAATATTTGTTTTCTTTGTCTATTTTATACACGTTTTGTTTTTTTTTTGTTTTTTTTTTTTTTTTAATATTTTTTCGATAAGTTGCATCATAATAAATATTTAGCCGTTGTATGGAAAAGTGAAGAAATTTTCCATATTTTCTTTTTCTAGATTTTTATTTTATTTATTTATTTTTCTTATTCCTAATCCTCACGTTCTCCCTTCTCAGTACTCTCTCATTACAGCTTTATAATTTTTTTTCTTCTCGACTCAATATTCATTAGTCTCAAATCTCAATTTGAACACACTTTTTTTTTTTTTTTTTTTTTTTTGAAGAATTTGCAGCAGCATTGAATTGGGGCTTTCTAATCAGGTTATATTGTTCTTTTTTCTTTAATTATTTTTTAGTTTTACTAACTTTTGTTATTATAAATTTGTATATATCTATATTTTTCATATATTTGTATATTTGTTTGTGAGTTGTGAGTCTTGTGAATATTTTTATCCATATTTTTCAATATGTCTGCTAGAAGGTATGAATCAGGATTTGAAGAACTTAAAAAGAAGAAGAAGAGAATAATAGATAAATTAATTCAATCTCAAAAGGGAGATATTGATAAATTTGTTTCAACTAATAATCAAAACCTAACAAAAAATTTAGGTGAAAGTTCAACAAATGAACAATCAAATCATCTAAAAGAATTAGAAGATTATACAATAATGAAAGAAAAAAATACTAGTGACTTGATTCACACTAATAATCAAGAACAACAAAAAGAATTGGAAGAAAGTTAAACAAGTAATAGAAAATCATATTTTAAGACTATCCTCACAAATATATATGATCCTGTATAATGGGAAAATATTGATATAGTAGAAAATGGTTCAATTAGATTTAATGATTTTAATTTCCAAAAGATGAAAACTTTAGGCATTTTTTCACTTCATATTATATTCAAAAATTACCAAATGGAAAGAAGCACGATAGATTTATTCAAAAGATTTAGATAGAGTATATTGTTTTTATTGTAAGTTGTTTAATTCAAAGTATAACACGAGTCAATTAGCTAACAATGAAACTAGAGATTGGAAAAATCTTAGTGCTAAGCTAAAAAATCACAAAACAACGAATGATCATATTTTAGTATGAACACTTGGATAGATTTAAAAGCAAGGTTGTTAAAGAATAAGACAATTGGTAAAAGCATCCAAGATCAAATTAATAAAGAGAAAGATCATTGGAAAATTATTTTACCAAGAATTATTGCTATTGTGAAAAATCTTGCCAAAAATAATTTGGCATTTCGTAGAAAAAAAGAGAAACTATATCAAGAAAACAATACCATCAACTATGTCACAAGAAAGGTTAAATGAATAGACTATATTGTCTATTGAAAAAGATATTTTAACCATACTTGAATATAAGAATTTAATTAGTAAATTTGCATCTCAAAAGGTAAGAAGGATGATTTTTAATTAATTATTATTTAATAATTAATATATTGTATATTATGATATAAAAAGGCCACTTTTTATTTTTCGCTTGAGGCCCTGAGTTACATCGAGCCGCCCCTATCTATAGGGCTTTGTTTGGTTCGGTGAAAACAGCTAGAAAAGAAAGGAAACGAAAAATTTTTAAATTTTTTTTAGAGTTTGGATAGATATAAAGAGAAAACTAATGGAAAATTTTGTTTCCATGCTTATCTATTTTCTCTCAAAACTTTTCATGCACAAAACACAGGGGAAATAATTTTTTTGCGTGAAATGTTTGCCTTTAAATTTGACATTCCTATTTTACCCAATACTGAAAAACAATTTCTTCCTTTATTTTTTTACTGGATTTTTAAGAGGGAAGTTCTCTACAAAACTAACTTTTTCTTTGTTTTTTTTTTTTTTTTGCTGCCTCAAAAAATATTATGAAGTCTTATTTTAAATATAAATAAAATATGAATAATTATATTATTAAATTTAATAATCCATTATTTTACTATATACATCAATAAATACAAATTCATTTATTTATCAGTATTTAAAATTATAAGGATAAATTTGGTATCTTTAATCGATTTCTTTTCACTTTCATGCTATCCAAAATAACAAATTAATATTTTTTTACAGTTTTTTTGAATAAATTTTCATTCTAACCAAATGCATGCTAAAAAATAATTTTTTTTTTCCATTCACTTCACTTTTCTTTCATTTTCTATTTCTTTTCTTTTCTTACTTATTTCTATCTAACCAAACGGAGCCTAGGGGTCATTGCATATTCTTGATTGTGTTTAAGGGAACATCTGATTAATTGAAAAACCCAATTATAGAAGTTGTAATTAATACTTCTTTTTTTTTCTTTTTTTTTTTAAACTATAAAACTTCAACTTTTAAGACCAAATTATCCTTTTATGTATATATATATGTGTTCTATCCTACCTGTACATGTATGTATGTGTGTGTGTGTATATATATATATATATATATATATAACCTTCATTCTTCTTTGCACCTTATTCTTTTCTTTCTCTGTTTTTTTTTGTGAATAGTTTCTCACTGTTTCTCCCTCTTCTTTAGATAAAGAGAGGGATTTTTTTTTTTTTTTATAAATTTATGTGAATTGATTGTTTCTTTCATTTTTATTTTTTATTTTTAATTCATTCATTTTCTATATATATATATATATATATAGAAGTTAATCATATTGTGAATAGATTGGGAAACCATACTTCTCTTATCTCATATATTAACTAAAACTCAATCTTTATAATATTACTTCAATTAAAACTCAATCTCATACCGTCATTTCAATTAAATTACATAAAATCTAATAAAAAAATCCAAGTAAATAAAAAGAAGAAGACAACTCTTAAAAATAAAGAAAAAAAATAAAGTTAAATATATGTAACAAATGAAAGAAGGAAGGTTATTAGGTGAAAAGAAAGAGGAAATAATTTAAAAGGGTAATTTGATCTTAAAGTTTAAGTTTTATAATTCCAAAAAAAATAGGAAAGAGACATTAATTACAACTCATTTTTCAACCAATCAGATGTGTGACTGTGTGTGAATGCTCGATTGTGTTTAGCCGTTAGCACTCCTCATTGATATATTTAGATTTTAAAATATACACTAACATTCACTTAGAAGTAGTAATATATGGATTTTTTTAAGTTGGGCAAAATAACAGTACTCAATTGGAAAACCTTACGATATGTCCGTTTTCTTTGTTTAATTACTCAGACAGTTGCACGTCTTGACATCATGTCACATTGTACCATGCTGGTTTAATCTCATTAGCACTCTCTCTCAGCCATATGATTCAGAATAAGCAAGACTTGACCAATGCTGCTGGGGGCATTGGAAAATTAGAATATCCAACAAAGCTAAAACAGTACAGCAAGTTTACTCCGATCAAGTTGTCGTGCCATTGCTTCATGCACCCCTATCTACAGTTTCACACTGATATGAGACAATGGGGACCAATTTTCAAATATGCACATAGCTTACAGGTCTGATGCAAGAGCAACTCATGCAGTTTTTGAAATCAACAAACATATTCCAGAAAATGACTTGTTATCACATTAGTCGATGATCAAACAGAAAGTCCACTCTTATATAACACAAAATAGAGGAAAACCTAAAAACAAGGAAAAATAAAGGAAGTCAAAGTGACTTTGGTTCAGATAATCAACAGCTGAAATACATTATAGAAACATGTGAAATAAAGACTATTCTGAGTTGCTAGGAGGCTTTTCTTTTGGATGTTTGGAGGCATAGTGATCACCAAGTTGATTCTGATTTGCTAGCTGCACCTGCCAAAACCCAAATTATCACAAATTCAGTGAAAGAGTACATAATAAACAAAGAGGATCATGTAAGTTCATTAAATGATCTACCAATGAGTGCAATTAGGACCATGCAAAGTACTTTACACACACCAGCAGTGAGCTGCCTGAAGTGGTTAAAAGAGGATCATATACATTTTTCCATTTTTTTGTTTTTTTCATTATTTTTTATTAATAAAATCTTCACTCGCAAAGTACTTATGTTTTGTTAGAAAGATCTAACAACATCAGTATCCATATCCAATAAATGGAAGCTACTCAGCATGTGTGAATGAGATTTTCCAAATCACGACCATCGCAGAGATAGTAAGGTTTGGATTAACCAATAACTTTCATAACAACTGAAATTGAAGGTTTATATGAGTTAGAACCAATGAATCATGAATAAGAATAGATAGCTACCACACAATGAAAAAATCAACCAGAAACAGGGGTTGCATATTATTGCAACAACACTTCTACTAGGGATATAGGAGCATATCAGCGAAGTACTAAAAAGTAAGCTTTTCCTACTCGCCATGCCCAACATGCTTTAAGTAGGTTACAAGACCCAGTGCAACACAATTTTCAAGATGCAAACTCTACAAGTGCTCTGGCCATGCGTGAACTGTCTCCACTGACTGAGACTGGAGATCAGGTTTTGTTTAGCATTACAAGAGCTTCAATCTATAAAAAAAAAGACAGTCACTACAGTCCAACCCTAAAATATAAGATGATAACCTTCCAAGCCAAGCCAATTTGGAGAGTGATCCCACTTTCTAATGCTTGCATAGTAGAAACTTTATTCATCCTTGAGATAAAAAAAAAAACAAGTTTTCTTTAACTGCAGAAAGATCCTTCAGAACATAATTTGCTAATATACTCCAAGATATACCAAGAGCTCAAAAGAGGACAGATAATAACATAGAACTAGAAAATTAATTTCAACTCGACACTGATACTAGTTAACAAATGCTTTGGATGGTAAATTTTTTATGGTTACTCACATGAGAAACCAGATGGAAATTTGGGATACCTAAGTTCCCAAATTCACCAAGACAACCAAGCACATTTGTTCCAAATCTGATGCTAGACGGTTTCTAAGGAATCTGCAGTGTCTTATGATTCAGGAGGAAAATAGAAGCTAAGTGACAGTGACACATATGCAGGCTAGGAGGGCCATAGAAAGTAATGTAGTTGTGGCCTGTAAGCATTGCATGGAAGGAGTGAGAGCTTTATCTGTATCGATAAGTTGTTTTCGCTTTTTTGGTGGTTGTGTGTTCATGCTTCCTTGGTTATCTTTTCACTTTGTTGATGTAATGAAATCCTTATCTTTGAGGAAAATAAAAGCTTACTGAATTCTCGTCTTTGTACTAAGGCTATGTTTGGTAGGCATGGAATTGGAGCTTTGGAATTGAAATTGGTGGAATTGGAGAAAAGCAACTCAGAAAATTGAACCAAAATTTTCTCCAATTCCAACATGCCGCCAAACACAGCTTAAGTCAATTTTCTTCACAACTCATCTTCACTAAATACACATCAAAGTAGCTGCGGAATATGACCGATTTATACATCTACAATTGTTGATTAGTAGTTGATGTATGATTACAATATTGGATATCCAAAGGGAAGTCTCGATGCGCAACAAAGTCAAAAGTATTCCATTATATTAATGGTTGTGTATGGTTGTATAAGATCAACCCATTATTCTTACGGGTACAGTTTTTTTTGGATATATATTGAATCACCTTTAAGTTCAGGATAAATTGGAAAATATTAAAATTTTTAATTAATTAGAATAAAAACAAGTTAATAATCCCAATGGCATAGTAACCGAGGATTATAGGAATGCATGAAAGAATTTGCGATTCTTCTTATTATGAAGATCTTTAACAGGAGGAGCATTGGAAGAAAGCATAGAAATTGAACTTATGTTAATGGTATAACATGTTATAATAAATGATCTAATACTTGTGATGAACAATTAATAATGGACCTTTGTTATGTTGAAGTGATCATAGTATTAATGAGAAATTCACCTTACTACATATAAAATATCATGTTTTGAAATGTAATGTTCATCACACAATAACACCAAAATCATGATGTTTTCATTATGAATGGTATAGAATAATGTAAATTTAGGTTGTGTAAAAGAAAAAAACATATGAATTCAAAGTCTGATCAGGCGATCCAGTAATAAACAAATCAAAGAATCGATACCTTGCAGATGGGGCAGATGACTTTGAGTGCAACGGCTCGAGCCTCGAACTGAGACCCTTTTTGTTTCTGATTTTTCTCCGCATTTCGTCTCTGCGCTTCGATCTTCTGCTTTCCCCTCGTCATCTCTCTTCACAGTTTGTGCGTGCCGCGCTTGCGTGTGCTTCGTAGGGATACAGGTGTGAGGGGGGATTAGGGACCGACGTTTTCTAAGGTGGTGGGTCCCAATTCAACTTGTCGATTTCTCATCGTCGTAAGCTATATGATGATGCGTTCTCCAGAGTCAGTTTTATTTTTTTAAGTGGGACTTTGCTATACCAAGTACCACAACCAAACAGTCGAATTGCCAAATTCAATGTATTACGTCCACACACATTCATCAAATGACCAAAACCACCAACACAACCTGAAAACCTTAAAATGCTCATGCGCAGTGATGGATGATACATAACTTAGGCACTTAATCAAATATTGATATTAAATACACCTATTTTAGTGAGTTTCATCACAGCCGACAACGCTTTATTTGAATTTTCAATTTTACAAGCGGCTTTAAAAATCAATTTTATTTAAAAAAAAAAAAAAATCAAACTATCTTAATTATAAATCTCTCCTTTAATGAGAAACTCACACAAAATTACAAGATAGAATAAAGAAAATAAAATTTTTATTACAAATACTGTGCATTATATAGATTGATATGCACTTCTTTCTTATATTATTTTCAAAAAACAAACATTTTTCTCTTTAAAAATAATCAAAATAATCCTACTAAATCAGTCTGTATCTTTCTTTCTCACAAATTCTTTTAAATGAAAATAATAATAATAAGATAGTTATGTAAGATTACTGTTAAGAGTTAAATTTCAATGAACAATTGTACGTTTATCACTGATCTTGATACGTAAATGACTGATTTAAATTATTTAATAAGCCATTCCGTTATAGTTTAGTTAAATTAATATCTTTGGTTAGGAATTAGGACAGAGGTCACTTACCCAAAAAAATTAGGATAGAGGTCATTCAGAACTATTAGTAAATAGTAAATATTTTGTTTGAAATTAATGTTTATGAATTAATTAGGTCAGTTAAAATAGTCTAGTGACACATTAATTAAAGGTAATTAATTCGCAAAAATGAAACCATGTGTGTGTCTTACATATATTTACATGTAAAGAAGCTTAGCTCAGTACATATAATCAGAATAAAATATATATAATTGTATTTAAAATGGAGTTTTGGTTCTTGCTCTTTGCTTCTCTTTGTATTTATATTTCCCTCTCTTCTCTTTTAGGTTTTTTACGCACCAAAAGACTTCCACCAGGCCCTCCCACCATACCATTCTTAGGAAACCTTTTATGGCTTCTTCAATCCTCCAGTGACTTCTCCACCATTGAGCCAACCCTTCGCCGCCTACGAGCCCGCTACGGCCCCATCGTCACCCTCTACATCGGCTCATTCCCGGCCATCTTTGTAACCACCCACGAAGCCGCCCACCGTGTCCTTGTCCAAGGCGGCGCCACCTTCGCCAACCGCCCACAAGCCCTTGAAACCTCCAAAATTCTGTTTAGCAACCAACACACACTCTCCTCCGCAGCCTACGGCCCACTCTGGCGCCTCCTCCGCCGCAACTTCACGTCCATCTTCCACCCTTCTCGGGTCAAGTTGTATTCCCATGGCCGAAAATGGGCATTGGACATGTTAAAGACCAACCTCCAAACCGAGGCGGCCTCCGGCAAGGCTGTCCTCATTTGGGATCATATTCAACATGCCATGTTTTCTTTAGTTGTCTTCATGTGTTTCGGAGAAAAATTGAAAGAGAATGTTGTTAGAGAGATTGAAAAGGTCCAAAGGACCATGATTGTCAACTTCATTAGGTTTAATGTGTTAAACTTCATGCCAAAGTTGGGTAAGATTGTGTTTAGAAAGTTGTGGAAAGAGTTCTTGGAAATGCATCAAAATCAAGAAAATGTACTCCTCCCACTTATAAGAGAGAGAGTGAGAAAAAGGAAGGAAGCTAGCAAAGATAAGGACTTTTTGGTAATTTCTTACATTGATAGCCTTTTTGATCTCCAACTCCCCCAAGAAGGAAGAAAATTTTCTGAAAGTGAGATTGTGAGTCTATGTTCGGAGTTTCTCAATGCTGGTACTGACACAACCACTACCACATTACAATGGGCCATGGCCAATATAGTAAAGCACCAAGGCATACAACAAAAGTTATATAGTGAAATTAATAGAGTGGTCAAAAAAGGTGAGGAGATTAAAGAAGATGACTTAGACAAAATGCATTATTTGAAGGCCACAGTGTTGGAGACTCTCCGTCGACACCCGCCGGGGCACTTCATACTGCCGCGAGCCGCCACCGGGGACGATGCCGTCTTCGACGGCTACCACATACCTAGGAATGCCATAGTGAATTTCACAGTGGCAGATATGGGTTGGGACCCAAATGTGTGGGAAGAGCCAATGGAGTTCAAACCAGAGAGGTTCTTGAAGGGTGATGGTGGAGAAGTGGCGTTTGATGTAAAAGGTGTGAAAGAGATCAAGATGATGCCTTTTGGTGCAGGGAGGAGGGTGTGCCCTGCTATTCATGTGGCACTGCTTCATGTACAATATTTTGTGGCCAATTTGGTTAGGGAATTTAAATGGACAGCTGAGGATGTTGACTTGAGTGAGAAACAAGATTTCAGTATTGTAATGAAGAATCCCCTTAGAGCCCACGTCACCCCAAGGATGGACTGATCAAATTATGGTAGTACTATTTAGTGGTCAGAGTTAATTAATTAGTTCCACTTTGTGTCTCAATCAAAGTACCTACTATGTAGCTTGCTAGCTCATAGCTCATGCATTATTGTATTGGTGACAAAATAAATTACAGTGGGACCCATTTATTAGGGATATTGGACCATTACAAGGGGCAACATGAACCTACCTACTAATTAATAATTTGCCACAAAGAGAAGGTAAGAAAAGAAACTACACATCCCAATATATAAATCAGGCATGTGTGCCAGAAAATGCTGAAGGTCTAATCATTCATACATTCTGAATATATATATATATATATATATATTCTGAACGCACCTAGTTCTTAATTTATAGTACTAGTAATAATTTAGGCGACAATGACATCAGAGATACTTCTATTTTATCTGAAAAGCAGCCACTGGATATGTGGTTGCACGGGTCCAACTATATATATATATATATATATATATATTAATGCCAATTAGTTGGTCACAATGAAATTTTGGTATATAGATGTGGCCGTGGGTCAAGTTGGCCCGGGTTCACTTTCAAACCCAGCCTTAATAACAGCTTGGCCCAACATGTTTTGCAGTATGTTAATGGTGGATTCCACACAATTCTCCGATCTCGGAAAAAGACCCGTAATACCAATTACTTGGTTACACAAGGGGATTAGCTAAAATAATGTTTGTCATACCAAAAACTTCATGTTTCATTTGCTTCTATTGCAACTCTTTTACATTAAAGTAAAATAAAGGGTAAAGTGGAAAAAAAAACAGTTTTATTCATAATGTGTAAATATTCTTTCCATGTTTAAGAAGTCTCTTACATTTTTTTAAAATTAAGTAAATAAGATTATATATTTTTTTAATTTAAAAACCGAAATAAATCAAATAATTATTTGCACAGAGAAGGTGGAATTGATCTTGAAACCTTATGAAGCACTGAGGTCCAAATTTTTTCTACCTAGCCCAACTCCTAGGCATTAAAAACTGAAATACTTAAAGTGCCCTTAAGACAAAATAACAATAAAAATTGCAAATTTCATTAAACATTGATTATTAAAGATATTTTGACGTTAATTTTGATCAAAATTAAGGATATTTTGATGTTCTAATAAGAAATTTTGATCAAAATCGATCAATTTATATGCACGTATTTAATATGGATATTTACTGCACATATTTTTTTTATATATAGTAAGATTCTTTTTGTACTTTATTATGATTGCAGTTATTATTATTTTTTTTTCAAAAAGTATTAAAAGTTAGATTAATAGATGCAGAAAGTCAAAGTGTTCCAAAATCTGGAGGTACTAATCCACTCACTATTGAGGTTGTCTGCTTGCAGCCTCTAAAGTATTATATTAAAAGATTTTAATCCAATTAATTTCTAAATTTTCATAATTAGAATGGATAGTTAAATGTATTTGTTTAGTTTTATTTATTTATCAAGAAATCTTATTTAAGAAAAAAGTATTTATGCAACCCATCATAGCACAAAAACTTCAACTACATAAAAGAATAATAAATAAATAACAAATCATGTCTCCCCCCAATCAATGATGTTCCCTCTCAATTCGACTCTGCAGCATGAGAGATAGATTCCTTATGAATAATAAGCTAAAATGACGCCTTTTGTTGTTCTTATTGTGTATTATCTTTCATACCACAATATCTGCCCATTAACCTCACACAGCCGTTGATCGATAATAGGTCCCGCTTGATAGAAACCCCAATTCTCTGTTCATCGACATAATAGACCAATCCGATCAGAGTCATAAGTGATAAGACTAAAATACAAAACGCCATACATACACACGCATTCGTGTAGGCCCCACTTTTTAAGTGGTAGCAACTGTGACCACTGTGTAACTAAGCACCAAGAAGTACCAACTTGATTTTTTAAAACTACTACCTCTCAGTGGGACTATAGTTGCCGTTGATTTATTGAGACAAGTTTATCCTCGCCTACTTTCTTAATAGGTTTGGATTGACTGAGATTACCTCTTAAGTTTTAACTCAATTCAATTAGTTTGACCCTGACTTTGGATTAAGGGGATGTAGTCCGTCGTCGTAGCTGGATTGGCTGGATTGGTCAGGCTGATCTTTTTAAATCAGTCACATTACATCAAATTATCATAAAAAAAAAAAAAGAGGTAGGAACTAATGATTCAATAAATAATATCAGTTAGAAAGATTAAAAAATAACATAAAGGAAAAAGAAAAAAACAAATGAAATAGGATGAAAAAAAGTTTAGAAATCATCATTTAATGTAGAAGAAATAATAAATTTAAACTATAAATTACAAGAAATTATTTTCATAAGAACAAACAAGTAATTTTTCAAATTGTAAGAGGCTTCGTTAACAAACGAGTGAGGGTTTGTTTTTTTGTGACTAGGGTTAGGATTCCTCTCTTTGGCAAAGATGTTAGCATGAAAAAGAAGATTATTGTTTGGCTAAGTTTTTCAAAAAAATTAAGATGGTAAAGTAATAAATTGAAGATGAAAATAGATATCAGACACATATAGCTAGTTAAGATTTATTTCTCTAACAAGTTGACAAGTATAATAACCATGTTATTGATTTATTCTCTCATTCAAACTTTAGAATAAAATTTATGATTGATGAATGTCTTTATTGTTAGATGAAAATGAACAACTAAGATTAGCATGTAAAATTATAATATAATTAATAAGTCTTTATTATTAGATGAAAATAAACAACTAAGATTAGCATGTAAAATTATAATATAATTAATAAGTCTTTATTACTGGATGAAAATGAACAACAAAGATTAGCATGTAAAATTATAATATAATTAATAAATATAAAATATTACAAATTACGGTTAGACTCGAATTGGATATGAATTACAATTTATAAATGAGTCATAAAATGTTTGCCCATCGAGAATTGTGGGTATAATACTAGTAATTTCGGAAAAATGGGCGAGTCAAATACAACTTCAGCGAGGCTCTGACCAGATTATTCGGTGGCGTGGGACCTACATGGGATGGGCTTAACAGGATCCGTTCGTGAATTAATAGTCCTCTAGGGATATTTGAGTCATTTCATAATTAGAAAATCTACTCTAAAGCGTCGGTCGCACGTACGGTACGTCGCGGTTCACGCGTGCGAGACCACTTCGTCTCCATTGGCAGTGTTGGTGCCCTTTTAATTCGAGCATCTATTCCAGTTACCTCTCTCTTCTCTCTCTCATCATCACACCTCTCTTTCTCTCTCTCTGAACTCCACAATCTCAAATCCAACAAAATTCAGGGCTTTGTGGTTGTCACTTTACAGCTCAACTTGCATTTCACTGAGCTGCCACCGTAGATCGAATCAAGGTGTGTATATTTCTGTTCCGATTCTATTTTTTTTTTGTTCTTTTAGAAATTGCTTGTAATGTAGCTCAATAATCAAAGTTAAACAAATAATAATCGAGAAATCGATCTCTTTTTAAAAAAATAATTTCCTGTTTATGGTTTATCGTCTCGATTCAGGGCACACATTGCTTTGAAATGTTGCATTCTAGTGTTACTGAAGCTGTAGTAACTCAATATTTGTTCATTTATTTATATGCATGTATGTGTATGTAATTATTTTTATTTGTTGTGTTGATTGTATGGATTCGTTTATAATCGGGACTCATGAGGGCAAATTTTTGAAAGAGATTAATGCTTTACTGAAATTGGTGTGGTTAGATTTTGTTTTTTGTTGTTGGGCTGAGTGAGCTCTGAATTGACTGAATGAGTCAGTTGGAATTTATAAGTAGAGAGGTACAGGGGTGTCTTCGGCTTAGTTGGGAGCTATTCGAACGTGAATTGAGTAAAATGATCCTTGATAGCTGTTTTATGCTGTGATTTTTTATGGGCAAATTGGAAAAAGGAAAACTGAAGCTGGAAACTGTAGTTTTTGATGAGATGGGCCATGCTTCTTCAATTACTTATCAGTTAATGTTGCTGGACTTGTTGATCAGGGTCAGCAGTGAAACAGCAGTACGAGGAAGAAATTTATGTTTCTTTGGGTTGCGTGGTGTATATTGCTCATGCAATAATATTATTATGGCCGAGCTGTGCCCTATTTGACAAATGCTGTTACCGGTTTCAGGAAGATGTAAAGACTGTAGAATCCATTTTTTTTACCCATGTTTTTCATCCTGATTTATCCACTAGGCCAGTCTGGTTGGTTCTTTGTGCCTGAGATATGAAAATACTGTCTTCTCTAGTAATTTGTAAAATATGCAAGAAAGGATGGGAATTCGTAAAATATACAAGGAATGATAGGAAATTAATTAACTTTAGCCGGGGAAATATCAGTTGAGAAGTTCAGATATAATTTTAGCAATGGGATGAGGCTTCTTGTCATTCTTTTTGTGGAAGCCTTCTTGTCATAAATCACAAGTTCACACTTCTCTGGCCATTTTAATTATAAATGAATTCTGAGGGCTTTCGGTTGATTTCTAATTGCTGCTTGTTTTTCTCAATAGGAGAGAAAGGTACACGCATAGTTCATGTGAGAAGTATAGTTTTTGGGCTTATGGCGATTCCTGCTCTTTCAGAAATTATTTCAGAAGTATTTCTAGATATAGTTATTAAACTAGAATGTGATTTAGAGAGGAGGAGGGAGGTGCAGTCCATGTTCTTCAACTTTCACCTAATCCTAGATTTGTTTGGGAGATGAAATGCTGCAGGGATGTATTTATGTTAATTTACTTCATAAAAAAGCCAAGTAGTGTAACTATGGTTTTACGTTATCGTTTCTGTCTATTGAAAGTTGAAACTATATGTTGAAAGATCACGTTAAGCTCATCTCCTTCACAATCTGTATACTTTATGCTTCTCTTTGGCATTTTTGTGTATTTCAGAAGTATCTCGTACATATCTCTCATCTCTCTCTTATATGGATAAATACATGCATCTGGACACACATATTATATACATTTATGTGTTCATATCTCTCCCTCTCTGTCTCTTTTCCCTTTTTGAAGTCGCATTTGTGTGTGGGGTTGTGGGGGGGGGGGGGGGGGGGGGGGGGTGTTGTTGGTGTTGGTGTTATAACACTGACACTTTTCGCAGTGTGCTGAGTCTGCACTTTAGATGGACAGGTCCTTGTATATATATATATTTTGAAGGCCGTGATTTATGTAGTTATTTTGTTTGGTCTTTTTTCTTGATTCTGTGGGTATTGCAAACTTAAGTCGTAAATGGTCATACCGGTGCTTCACTTAACCTGAATTTTTTACTTTTTTGATCATCTAAAAATCATTTTTAGTATTATTACTCAGGAACTCTATAATTTGGGAAGAAGTTACCTTGGTTTATATTGCAAAACATGTATTGAGAAATTGAATGAAATCAGTCATCCCGCTAGAAAAGGTTTAGAAAGCAGGCAATGGTGGCTCTTATGGTGTTTTTATCATAAAAAAACTGCAAGGTCAATTTCTTGGAATAATATTTGACTCAATGAAGTCGTCAGCTCATTGGTGTAAATTCTTGCAAGAATGTGTTCATGATTACTAGAGTAGAGCATAGAGGTTTTGTTTACTGTAATATGCATCTGTCTAGCCTATATACTCTACCAGATAAAAATAAAACAGCTTATATAACCCATTATTTTGCATCTATAATTTTTATCTTACATTTGAAGATATTCTGCTCTGTTTCTTAAATCATAATTGCTTAAATCACATTTTTTATTTATTTTTTGTCCCTCTCCAGGGAACAACATTTTTTTCTTTGCTTGCTGGATGCTATATGTTCAAGGAAAGCATCTTAAAGCCTGGTGTATCAGATGATTTGTAGTATCTCTATTATGCTTGACCAGCTCCACAATGGGCATCTTTCTTATGAGTTGTCAATGGCTATTGCTTCTTTATGTTATACTTCTTTACATTCTGGCGGACAAAACCACGTCTCTCAGTCCTGATGGTATGGTTCTCTGTCTATGTTTATTTTTTCTGGTGTTGTCATTAGTATTCTGGGTTGGAAATTGCTGATAGGTATTGTATTGTTGTACCCTTAGATCATATTCATGTAACTATAAGACTTGGGTAATTATGTTGGATATGATTCCTAAGTTTGCCGCCAATGCTTGTCACACTTGGTGGACACAATCTCCAATCAACTAGTTGAATTTAAGAGGCACCATCTTTTGGAGCTCAACCTAATGATTTCTGTCTTTTCTATGGGCCCGGGGATTCAATCTGAATTCTCTTTAGCCCATCCATCTACCATCTGAGTTAAGGTCTACGGGCTTGTCAGATGCCTGTGGTTGAGTTTAAATTTTTTAGACTGCTATTCAATCTTTTGTAATATAATAGTGAATATGTTGGATTTTTGATATGCATTTGATTGGTTCAGCAATTAAGTGATTTTTCTCAATGGCTCTTAACCTCATAGCCTATTTCTCAACCAACAAAGGACATCCCAATTCTTAAGACATTATAACAGTTCCCTCTCTCTGTTTGTATGTGTGTCTGATGTGATAATGATAGTATGTAAAACCTTGAGTTGTGATTTGTAGGTGAGGTGCTTATAAGCTTTAGGACAGCTATTATTAGTTCAGATGGTGTTCTTGTTCACTGGCGACCAGAAGATCCTGATCCTTGCGGGTGGAAAGGAGTGAAATGCGATCCAAAAACCAAGAGAGTTTTATCTTTGTGAGTTTTGAAAATAACCTGAAGATTTGACTTTGATCCTTTTCGTTTTGTTTTTGTTTTGTTTTGTTGAGTACTTAATAAGTGCTATTTCCATAACACATTTAATCAACCTTACTTCTATTTACATTTAACAATTGTTAACATTTTGAATATATGGTATATTGTTATGTGAAAAATTACTGCAGGTTAGTGAGCCACGTTATTGAATTAGGTTGCTTTAAATATCATGCATAAATAAACCACAATGACATTCAATGATTCAATAGAACACGGGTGCTTTTCATTTTACACCTTTGAAAATTGTTTTTCTTCTACATGGTTATGTTAAATCTCTTTAATGGTTTGTTTATTTGAATAAATGGTATATTTTTCAATGTTTAGTACTGTATATGAATATCATCACTTAAAGCTTATACTTCAAAAATTTGACATTATAGTGATTCTTGCAGGCAAAAAAAGTAGCTATTTGTCCAATTTTGAAAATAACCTGAAGATTTGACTTTGATCCTTTTGTTTTTGTTTTTGTTTTGTTTTGTTTTGTTGAGTACTTAATAAGTGCTATTTCCATCACACATTTAATCAACCTAACTTTTATTTACATTTAACAATTGTTAACATTTTGAATATATGGTATATTGTTATGTGAAAATTACTGCAGGTTAGTGAGCCATGTTATTGAATTAGGTTGCTTTAAATATCATGCATAATGAAACCATGATGACATTCAATGATTCAATAGAACACGGGTGCTTTTCATTTTACGCCTTAGAAAATTGTTTTTCTTCTACACGGATATGTTAAATCTCTTTAATGGTTTGTTTATTTGAATAAATGGTATATTTTTCAATGTTTAGTACTGTATATGAATATCATCGCTTAAAGCTTATACTTCAAAAATTTGACATTATAGTGATTCTTGCAGGCAAAAAAAGTAGCTATTTGTCCAATTTCTAGTTAATTATTTGAAATATCTTAGCTTTGCATGATAAATAGGTGTTTTCTCTCCTAATATTGCACATTAAAATGCCAATAGGTGCTTTCCCTCCTAATATTATCAATTTTTCTTTAAGCTGCCTTAGGTATTTCTGGATTTTTCTGATAAAATAAATTATTTGTTGTATTGAAGACAATGATTACCAATATACATTCATGTACTATGGACGCTATAATGGTGATTGTTCTACAAAAGTACATTTGATAGTAAAAATTTTACTTGGGGCATGAAGTAGGGAGAATTTCATCGATACTGTGATCATTGGAATTGCAAAAGTGGTTGAAATTCCAAAAAAGCCCATATCAAGACTAGAAAAACTACTAGCATCTACCTTTAAAAAAAAAATAAAAAAAAAACCACTAGCATCTGCAGCTCAAATATTTGAGGGGAGCAACACCTTTTGGACAAACTTCACAGACAAATACTTTCTAACTACTGAAAAAAAAATTGGAAATTTGGAAGGAATGTGATGAACTCCCAAGGGCATTTTTCTCTCTAGTAGCATCAATCATTTTTTGAAATTAAGGTTGCATAAAAAGTGCTCAAATGGGGAGTGCAGCCCACATAAACAAAGAGGGACCAAATAGGGCCCCTAACCACTCAAAACTGTCCAAAAAATCAACCATCTCCTCCATGGATTTGCAATTTTTCCCATAAACTCGACAAAAAAGAGAACAAATGATAAAAAATTTCAGTTCCCCAATAGGAAGCTCCTTCCCATTAAAGGATCTCCTATTTCATTCCTTCCCCAAGTGCACAAAGGTGCTACCCTCCAAAAGTCACGGGCTTGGGATCCTATTTTACACTCTCCAATCCTCAATCAAGCCAAGCGTGAATCGTGGCATAACCCACTAAACTCCAAGCAAAGACAAAAGCATCCCCCAACTATCCCTAGCCACAGGGCAATGCAGCCAAAGATGATCCACCTACTCTTCATCCCTCTTGCACATACAGCACTAGTTCACAACAGTCTGTCTCCTCCTCCTCAGATTATCCAAACAGAATCCTCCCAAAGCATTCGTTCAAGCAAAGAAGGTCACTTTGAGGGGGGCCTTCGTACATCCAATGGCTTTCCAGGAAAAGAAAGCCACGGGCCATCCGTAAGGGCTCTATAGAGTGAATGCACCTCAAACCTCCCCTGAGAAGAAAGCACCTACACTCGGGAGTCGACAGGATCACCCCTCACCTTTTGAGGATACAACTCAAACACCTCAAAACATCATCCATCTCCCAGTCCTGGAAATGCCTCAAGAAACGGACATCACATGTCGTCCTCCCGCTATCAAGCCGATAACAGTCGACCACAAAAACATGCCTATCTGTAGCGATCCGAAAGAGTCTAAGGGAGATGCAAGTGAGCCGCCGGTCACTGCAAAAATCATTCAGAATTTTCTGTATATTTGCCAAAGGACAGAGCAGAATTTTCTGTATATTTGCCAAAGGATAGAGCACCTAAGTATTTCCCGTTCTCTTGGGACCTCTACAGCCACTAGCCAACAAGAATCTTTTTTCTAGTGGTAGTAACTCTATTAGCTAATCACTACCATTTTCCTGCTTAAGGGCATAAACCATGTCAAGTGAACTGTGCTCTCCTTTCTCATTCCCCCACTGGAGCAAAGAAAATCGATTGTGGTCAATCTTCTCTGTCTCTCCAAGTGCAATAGTGAAACCATAAACAAAGATGTTCTCCTAGGTCACATTATTTCCCTAAATCATCTGAGGTGGCAATGTTGGAAGTTCCAAAATGTCTTTATGTGGAAAAAAAATTATGGATGTTAAATACTATTTGGTTGATTGAAAGGTAGTTTGCTTTACAATTGAAGAGAGAAGGTTAAGAATTTGGCTGATTTATACCATGAAAATAGTCTATCATTGACCAATGTACGTGGACGTGTTTGAGAGATTGAGACTGCGGGAAAGTTCTGTTTTGAATTTCAAGAGTGAGGGTTGGCTAGTTGACTAAAGAGGCTTGAGGATCCAACGAAGTTCATGTTTTGAGTGCAACTGTGAAAGGACTGGAGGATTCACAGAATGGACTTGTTTGTCAGTAGAAATGGTTCAAAAATGCTTTAAGCATGATATTTGGTGCGGTGAGGTTCTTTTCAATCCGAATATGTTTTGGAATTGTAATGGCTATTGCATATGGTCAGTGAGGATGCTCCTTTCAGATACCTAAATATTGTGAAGACATACATGATTGGGAAAAAGGGGCAGTCACTGCTTTCTGGGAGAGGCACTATTGTGGTGAAATAATGAGATACAGGGGGATGCATATTAGTTTGGAAGTGAATCCAAATATTTTTTCTCTATAGGCTTTATTGTGGATATGGATGCTGGTTAGTTTGGAAGATAATCCGAATGATTTCTTCTGTGTAGTCTTTATTGTAAATACGGACGCTGGTCTCACCCGTCATTTTTCCGCTCATGGGACATGTTGATTACAAACTTTTTCCTCTTAGGAATGCCTTGGACGCTGTCTTCTTCAATAGTGGACTTATTTTGTGGATAATAGGTGGTTATGGTTGCAAGCTAAATTTAGGGGTCTAAATATTTTGGATGGCGTGTTTTTTGTTTGATCCTGGAAGAATTTTTGTTAGTAGGATGGAAGAATTTTTGCAAAGCTTATGTGAAGACTCTCCCCTACTAAAAATTGTAAAAAATAAGCTCCTCGTCTATCGGATTTTCGTAAGTACATGGGAAACTCACTCGGGTTCAGGGAATCTCTCTACGCTTTGAATATGGGTCTTATTTCTAAGCCCGGACTTGGATCTCAGTACAACCAACGGGACTGCTCTTGAATACAAACCTCCCTCTCCTTTGAGAACTCAACATTGAAAACATGGAACAGTTTTCGGATGAAGATGAATGGTGGTACGCTGATGTGTCTGCTGGTGTGCTTGAGGCAGGGTCTCTTTTAAGGAGAGGCAGGGTTCCTATTCGACGGCTTACATGGCTTAGAGAAAAGAAATAGGCCTAAAAATCCAAATCTTACATCCTGTATTCTTCTTGTTGGTTTTGGCTTGAAGGTTTGGGAACGGCTCCCTCTCTCTCCTCTACCGTCAGCTTCAGTCACTCAGTAGCTCGGTTCTTCCTCACGGCCTCTGAGACCATATCCTGGGAATGGAATTGCTATGCCCAGATCCAATATTTTAGTGTCTATTTGCCCTGCCTTGCCATCCCCAGAGAAAACTCTTCAATGTTCTCTTGCTCTTCTGGAACTCTTTATTCTTCAATATTGCCCCTTTCTAGTTCAGTTCCATATCATCCTGCAAATCCCGATGCAGAGGCTGCCCCGCCCTCGTATCACCATCTTCAACAAGAAGATGAAAGAATCTGTTTATGAAAGACCGTGTTTTTCAATGTCGAGCTGAGGTTGATCTATGAATGTCCTTTCTGCTATCATTTGAAAACGTTCCAAAAGCAGTTGCGTTCCCCCTTGTGGTTGTTCCCGGAGCGGCATAACGGAAAAAAGAGTTGGGATCCTGGTGTCCATTTTCAAATTGTTCTCTGGGAATGATTACTATCCTATCCAATACACACTTGGTAATAGGTTCAATTTTATTTCGTTACTTGAGTAACCAATTTTATCACTAAATCAAACAATATCAAGTTACAATATACTGGTAAAATTGATCTTATGTATATAAATCCCATTTGTATGCATAAGTCACGTAGAATGTAACTTGAAAATTTTGATACATCTCATGCAAACATAATGGAATGGTATGCTGAATTTATGAAAATCATATTCATTGGATAAACATGTCAAACATGATGACCTTCATATTCGTATCAATTTATAATACTAAATGTGTTTTTTCTTTCCCTCTAATTGTGCAGGAGCCTTCCTTATCACAAATTGAGTGGATCTATATCACCAGCTATTGGGAAGCTAGAGCATTTAGAATTCTTGTATGTATTTGTGGGGAAATTCCTTGCTTTCTTGATAGTTGATATATGTTTACTTTGATAGATTTGTGATGCAGTTGCTGATGCTATGTGTAATGTATAATATGCTGTAGAGCTCTCCACAACAACAACTTTTATGGGACAATTCCTCCAGAATTGGGAAATTGTACACAGTTGAAAGCATTGTAAGTACAATCTTCTAGCGCTCTAATCAGGAACATTTTTATTTTTATTTTATTACTGAATACAGAAAAATGGTATGTTTTTTTGATCGGTAGTGAAGCTGTGATTAAAAGTTAACCAATGAAAAGCTTTTAAAATTTGTGGTTTAGAGTTGATCCTAAATATTGAAAATGATCATTTTAAGTAATCCTTTGGTCTTCAGTTGGTATTGTTATATTATCATTTTTTGAAACTTCATTTCCATGTATTCCGTTTTACTTTTATTAATATTTTGTCCCTCTGTTTCTAATGTATTTCTCTATAGCTCTCATTTTGTTCACAAAACTTTCTTAGAGTTAACAACATGCACTGATCTAAAACTATTGTAAATAAGTATAGACTTAATACTGATCATTGGTGAAATCCGACCTACATAAAATTTATGCTGAATTGAAGACCTACTTATTATGCATAAAGTAAGGTGCTGCTAAATGGAAGGATCTTATCAACGTCCATGTTTTGCCACGTGGTACAGACTCTAGTCTGTCTTACATGTACGGTTTAGATACATATCCTGGATAATTTTTATAAGGTTTAAAGGAATTTATTTTCTTTTTTAAAGCCCATCAAATTACTTCTCTTGGTGCTTTCTCACATGCCTTCTCTAAGTCGATGAAAACCATGTGTGAATCTTTATGTTGTTCATACCTCTGTCCGCTGGCTTTTCCAAAATCCTTTGTTTTAGAACAATTGTATAGCATTACATTTAGTTGGCATTGGTGGAGAACTTGAACATAGGTGTGCTTGATTTGCTTAAACATGCATTTGATCTGATTCTCAAATAAAGCAAGGATACGGAGAAGATAACACCTCATGGAATAGTTTAAGATGGAGTGACATAATTGTATTGAACGGTGAACGTCACCTTCAATAAATATTAAATTGCATTTTGATGGTTTTGGCACTGCTCATGACATCAAATTCTCATTGACTATTGACATATATGTCAGGTGTTGTGGATCTTGCCACATAGGCAAAGTGGCAAGATTTATGATGGGTTCTTCAAGTCCCTTTTTTTAATGATCCTGCTCAATCATATGTTTCTCCTAAAGCCTAATGAAAGCAGCAAAGAACTGTCTTCCTCTTTAGTTTGTTTTGTTGTGTATTATGCCTGGTTTTGCAATAACAGACAGTGAAGAGGTTATAGGGATCAGTTTGATCCGTATCACATTCCACAAGGGGCCCAATATTACCTCCATCATGAACCCTTCATCACCTGCGAATGATATATGCTCTAGAGAAAATTAGTTCCATTAAAGGTTGGCTCTATATATCGATGTTGCCGTCGGCCTTAAAGCTTTAGAGGACCCTCTACGACTGGTTTTCCATTGTTTATTATGCGGTGGTTGCGATCATGTCCATGAGTCTTGCTAACTCAATGGTTTTGTTGTTGTTGTTGTTGACGTTTTTGTTTGCTAATGGTAAAATGAGAAAGATTGCAATTGATATTTGAGCATTTATTTTTTGAAAAGTAGGTTTTTGAGCATTTATATAGTAGGTATAAATCCAAAATGTTGTCTACAATATTTTGTTTTATTTATCTGCTAGGTAAACTTTTTAAATTGAGATAACTTGTTAATCTATCATATTCTACAGATATTTGCAGGGTAACTACTTAAGTGGACTAATTCCCAATGAATTGGGAAATCTTTCAGTGCTTGAAAATATGTAAGTTCTTTCTCTAATATTTATATTGTTCTTTAATCTCATATGTGGTTTGGTAGTTTTTTTTTTTTTTTTTTTTTATCGATTTGGTGAGACATTTCCAATGTGGAAGGTTGTACAGAGACTCAGATTTTCCTTGCCAATTTAAAATTTAATAAATTTTCTAGTCGATAAGGATTTTCAAGCATGTCTTTCAAGTTGAAATGAGATATGACATTATTGTGTTAAATTCCTGTGTCATTACATTTTGGCATGACCGTCAATACAATACAATTCCCTGTCATTGCAAAGAATATGTGGCTTGTATTTGGAGTTGACTGCAGTAACCCTGTGCACTGCACGAACTTAGTAATGACAAATAAAGTTTCTTAAACACAACTATAGTCTTTTTTTATTCATAATTTTTATTTATTTATTTATTATTTTATTTTCTAGGAGAAAATGGTGCTTTTATGTAATGTAGAGTGTTCAACATGAGCGCTTTATTTGTTTGAAATAATAACGCAAGGAAAGCAACATAAAAAGAGAGTTTTATCAACAATTATTTAATAAATTTAAAACATCCAATGTGTTCACAGGTGTATGTCAAACCTTACATTTTGGATACATATTCCATACCCATACTCAGATGTCACGTGTATGGGTCTGAGTAATGGAAATTCAGAGCAATTGTATGAGAAAAAGGTTGGTATTTGTAGTTGGGAGAAGATGCAAGAAGCTTTTCTACCATGTGATATGCACAATTCTTGTTGTGGCGGTTCTCAATCTTTATCAAGAGGGTAATTCTTTTAGGGCGCACAAAAATAACTTTACTGCGTTTTGATTAAGAATGTTTTGAAAGAGGTGAAAATTGATGGTTGCTCGCTAGATAACGGTCTCAAAGAGGCATTTCAAGGTGACCTTGCTATAGATACTTTTTGGTTGAGTAAAGATGCACACCACATTGTGTTCAGGGTTGAGGAAAAGTTAGTCGACAATATTCTGAGGCTGATGGGGACTAAAACGTGAAAAGTTTATTGATATATTATAGTTTACTGTACTTGTGAGGTTTTCAGTGATTGGCTTTAAGCTTGCATCTTTGAAGTCCTTCGAAAAATATAAAATGCTTTTAGTTCTTTATTTTTGGGTTCAGGGATGGAATTGTAAATCCGTGAGGGATATTGGGGATATGTTGTTGAGGGTATAGCGGGAATCGTTGGTCCTTTTGCAGTTGTTTCTGGGATGCGCTTCCCTCTTGAGCGTGCTTTAATGAAATATTAGTTACATATATAAAAAGCTTTCTTTATTGTCTTTGTTTGTATTGAATAATATTTTACTTGGCGTCGGATTTTCTGTATATATCCATAATTATATTCCCTTATTTAGCATCATTTTGACTGATTTTTTTGGTGTCAGAGCCATAATATCTCTTTTGGGGAACCTCAACCCGCTCTTTCAGATGATTCACCACTGTATTACAATGGCATCCCCAGTTACCTTTTCTTTTCCCTGGCATTTCCAGCTACCTAGTTATATAAAATATCTTCTCAACAGTTGTTATGGGGCATTAATGCAACCATGCTTACTCCCAAATGAAAAAGTTCCCTGTTTGTTATGATTTGTAAAATTTGGACATTACAAATATAAATGCTTGATAAAGGAAAAATTAATGCGTAAATCTTTATGGATTTAAAAGATGTTATCAAATTCGATGAAAGTGACGTTGATAGGAAAATTCGTTAATTGCTAGAGATGCTAAAAATAGAATAACAATTTAATGGTTCTTAGCTTGAGTTAGAAGCTTTCTATATCATTGTCAGCTTAAAGAGGTTCAATAGGAATCTGATTTAGTTTATCCAAGAAAAAAAAAAAAAAGGTTAATTTCTTTCTGCACCTAGAAACAAACCATTTGATTGGCATTGGAAATCATTTAAATGGTATCACATTGAGAACGACCTCAGTTATCCAGATGCAAAATGTTTGTTAATTGGTTGTTGCACCAAAAAACTAATTAAGTATTTCCTTTTCCTGATTGACAGGGATATTTCAAGCAACTCTCTCGGTGGATATATTCCACCATCACTAGGGAAGTTGTACAAACTCTTAACATTGTGAGTATGACTTTGTTCAAGATTGTTAGTGTTGATAGTTCTCTGTGAACCTATTTTTAATTGTTAAAATCTTATTTAATGTCTGAAGCAATGTGTCAACCAATTTTCTGGTCGGAGCAGTACCATCTGAAGGTGTGCTTATCAACTTCACAGAGAACTCGTAAGTTTGGGGTTTTGATTTCCTTTCACGTTAAATTTTTTTTGGAGTCACCAGGGTTTTTTTAGTTTTCCATGTAGAACTTAATGCATAATGTAGTTCCTTGTGTTGCTGTTCATTTTTCGTTAATTTTTTTTTTCTGGAGTCACCAGGGTTTTTTTAGGTTTCCGTGTAGAACTTAATTCATAATGTAGTTCCTTGTGTTGCCTGTTCATTTTTCATTATATTTGGATTGTCTGGCATGCATTGGGTTGGGTTTGAAATAAGATCCTCGTTTATCGAGATAAAACCCCTTTCTTTTTTGTAAAACTTTGTTCAGTATCTCCAACTATTACTTTGTTAAACAATGCAGAATTTTCAATATCTGCCCTTGATGAGTTCTGTTTTGTTGGATTAATTGACGTATCCAGAAATTCTTGTTAATTCCCGTTTTCTGAAATGTAATTGCGATTAAAGGGTAGAACAAAATGCAATTATGGGTAACTTACAACCATGTATATGCATAACAGGGTGCCACCTTGATCCCTATTCTAATGCTACAGCAATTGCAGTCTTGGCCAATGAGATCAGGGGCTTAAAGAATGGTGGGGAATGGAAAATAAAAATAAAACAGAAATGAGGATAGGAATTGGATTTGGGAGAAACTGAAAGTCTTCCGGGAAGAAAAAAGATGATGCAGTGGTGGTGAGGAAATGAGATGATGGTTTGTGAGTTCTTTTCTGTTGGATAGTAATAACTACTAAAGTTCAGGGTTTGTGTAATTTTACTTCTGTGTGGAGCACAAAAGGCTGAATCAGAATCGTGGAAAGTATCTAGTCTATGTGTTATTGGTTATGCTTAATTTGTTTTCATTTGTCTTCTCCCTTTGTTTTCTTTTCCATTTCTGGGTTGCAGTTTCCTCACTGGAGATGTATTATAATAAATAATCATTGATTGTGTTTGTGCCACCTTAAAACATGTGTTTCCTCACATGTTTTCTTTTTTGTTGGGTTTTTGGGAGAGATCATAGATCTTTAGAGGAAATTGTTGATTTTTTGGCCTCTTTGAAGGCTTAAAGGTCCTTTGTGGCCTTGTGTATTTCTTCTAGGCTTCGCTCCCCTTTTGAGCGCTTTTATAAATTTTTTCTTACTTATCAAAAAAAAAAAAAAAAAGTATTGTGAATACCAAAATGTTACTGCCACACTGTGTTTACTATCAAATTGGCATAAATTTATGTTTTGAAAAGAAAGTTTCTTCAGGGGATTTGTTCTTAAGGAAGATTCTAGTGTAATGAAGTTATGTTTACATTGAGCATGCAAGTTGCTGCTATTACCAACTTCTGTGATGGAATTGCTATTCCCTCAATAGCTTTAAGAGATTGTCACACTTTCACTATTTTGATTTGATGCGTTACTTTGCAGCTTTATTGGAAATCGCGGTTTGTGTGGGAAACAAGTCAATGTGACATGCAAAGATGATGCTGGGGGTCCTTCAACTTATTCCCAACCTCCTTCAGGTAAAAGATTCATGAGTTGGGAACTGATCATTTATTGACTCTAGTTTCTACAACTACCAATTTGCTGATAGTGATGACTACAAATTGTTTCACTTTCTATGATGAAGATATTGAAAATTTACTGTTGGACTACACTATTACCTATGTTGCAGACAGTCATACAGAGGCATGCCATTGTTAGATGTAACGATCTTCTGGACACTCCCATAAACATGTTAAACATGCTCCAAACACGTCTAATGGTTTATCTTGTACAAGGCTGACACATGTCAAGCCTCCCACAAACAAAATTTTTAATTTATTTTTATTTATTTATATAGAATACGATATATTTGCATAAAGTGTTAACAGTGAGAGTAGGAGTGCCAGTAACTCAATTTGAGTGAACAAAATCTTGTTCCATATTTGGGATCAGTTACGTGGATTTTGTTTTATCATTTTGCTCTAAGATCATAACTTCAGTTGAGCAACACACTCATTTTTGTCCTTAGTGTACACATTGGCATTCTTCATTCCTGATTATTACTCTAATGCGGACTATGTATTACACACTGGTGCAGTTATTGATTATTGCTGCACATGGACAAATTGTTCTCATCTGTTTTCTCTCACCATCTCATAATTGTATTACATCTTACCTTACACTCATCTCAATATCTACATTTTGATTGTGCTCATTCTATGTAAATCTATTACTTGATCGTCCAATATTATGTCTTATAAAAGCTTGGATGGTTTAAATGTCTGTTTTAAGAATTTACCTATTTTGTGCAATGAGGTACATGTATAAAATTACTATTTTTGCTTACAAAGGAAGCTACATGCATTAGGAATGGTTTAAATGTCTGTTTTATAGAATTTACCTATTTTGAGCAATAAAGGTAGATGTATAAAATTACTATTTCTCCTTACAAAGGAAGCTACATGCATTAGGAATAATAATATGATTGTAAAAAACTCCTAGTAGAACTCAATATTTTTGAGTTAGCATCAACATTATTTCGTACAACAATTCTGGGTATATCTAGATCACTAGCACAATTTTCTCTAATATCAGTATCGTATATTGTTTTGTTTTGTTTTTTTTTTTTTTTAATCTTTATTTGTTTTTCTTTTTTCCTTCTAGCCCAAAATCAAGATGAAAAGAAGAAATACTCTGGGCGGCTACTTATAAGTGCGTCAGCGACTGTGGGTGCCCTCCTCCTGGTGGCACTTATGTGTTTCTGGGGCTGTTTTCTCTATAAGAAACTTGGTAAAAATGATGGTAGAAGTCTTGCAATGGATGTTGGTGGAGGTGCTGCTCTCATGACCATTGCATGAATTTGAGCTGTTTTTGTTTACAGTTTTGTGCTTTCATGTTTCTGGAATTGAACTGTATCTATTTACATCTTATTGCTTCAGGTGCATCAATTGTTATGTTTCACGGAGACTTGCCATACTCTTCAAAGGATATCATTAAAAAATTGGAGACTTTGAATGAGGAACATATAATTGGGTCTGGGGGCTTTGGTACAGTGTATAGGCTTGCAATGGATGATGGCAGTGTATTTGCTTTGAAAAGGATCATGAAGATGAATGAGGGCTTTGATCGATTTTTTGAGAGGGAGCTTGAAATTCTTGGAAGCATAAAACATCGATACCTAGTAAATTTGCGAGGGTACTGCAATTCTCCAACATCAAAGCTGTTGATATATGATTTTTTACCTGGTGGTAGCCTTGATGAAGCTCTCCATGGTAAGATCCCTTTCTCTTATTTTAACGTTTTTTTACTTGCATCATGTGGGTGTCTCCAGTTTAAGCTAACGATGGAACTCGGAAGCTGAATTAAACATTTGACATGGTGAGTTTGACCCTTCATTTTGAGTTCATTGTCATGGTAGACTAAAAAGCTATATTTTAAGCTTATTGACCACTAAGTTACATCATCATCTTTGCCTTAATCCCTATAAGAAGGGGGTTGGCCACATGAATTCTCGTTTTTCATTCTTTTCTATTACTATACATGTCTCCTATTATATTTAATTTTTTAAAATGATGTCCAATTACTTCATCCCATGTTAGTTTTGGTCCGCATCTTTGTCTCTTAGCTTCTATGCACAATAATCTCTCTTTTCTCAGTGGTGCATCTATGGTTTTATGTAATTTGCGGCTTATATATTTGTTTGACAAGCATTTCACCTAATGGATATAATTGAAGCTTTCATTGACCATGTTATATCTTACATCATTATTAATTCTTACGAAATGTATGTTTTATTTTTTATATGCATGCTTATGTTCATATGTGCACATATATATTTCTATTCTAATTATTGATAATGATTATGAATTTCTCAAAAGATTTTTTTTTTTTTTTTTTTTTTTTTTAAGATTATCAATTGTTATTTTTCGTGAACAAGTTTATTTAATTTCTAAAAACAAGATGTTTAATTTGTTGATATCTTTAATTCGTGATCATGACAATGTCTCACAGGCTTACAGTGTAGGTTTTTAGATCAGCCATAAAACAGCTTAAAATTTTCCGATTCTTTCAGTTTTCATGGTAGTATGATCAGCCGGAATTTATTTTTATTTTTTAAAAAAAGAATAAAAAAAAGAAATGTACATATTCTTGATGGTGTCTGAGTCAAGTTGTACCTAGCAGAGTATATGATCCAATTTTCAATTTAAGATAGTTAACTTCCATGCATAAATATATGGGAATCAATTATATATTGTAAATTTGTAATGCCCTGTACAGAAAGATCTGAGCAACTAGATTGGGATGCACGTCTAAATATTATCATGGGAGCTGCGAAAGGGCTGGCTTACTTGCATCATGACTGTGCACCGCGAATTGTACACCGTGACATAAAGTCGAGCAACATCTTGCTTGATGGCAATTTGGAGGCTCGAGTATCCGACTTTGGACTAGCCAAATTATTGGAGGATACAGAATCTCATATTACGACAGTTGTAGCTGGAACCTTTGGTTATCTAGCTCCAGGTAGGCAATTTTTTTACAGTTGTTACTCAAACTTAATTAATTAGATTTATTTATATTTATTTTTAAATAACTTTTGTTATATCAGAACAATGAAACCTTGTTCCTGCTGTTGATCTGAATTGAGTAGTTGGGAAGAGGCAATCATTATCACGGTGAATCCTGCTGTTGGTCACAAAGTTTTTTGTATATAGTTGGTATGCCAGATTCTGTCCATGGGAGAGGATTGCCCAACTTACTGACAACTCACTTTCTATCCTTCTAAAAAACTTGAGAAAACACAGTGAATGTTTGCTTTTGTGAAAATAAGCTATTTTTAAACAAGAGTGGATGGGAGGAAAAGGATAAATTCACGTAGAGTAAATTTAAGATAAGTGATTTTTAGAATTAGAAGAGAGAGAGAGAGGGTCTTAAATAATTTATCTTTAACAAAATGACAACCCACTTGTGGAAATGAGACTGTTAAAGTTGGATGAGCGGAGTGACTTGAAGAGATATGGTCACTAATGAAAGAGTGAGAAAAATAGGTGTAGCACCTAAGAAGCACGGAAACGGATACGGGACACGACACGGATACGGCGACACGGCAAATCCTAAAAAATTAGGACACTGACACGGCGGGGACACGTCAAATAAGAAATATGTTTTCTATGTATATGATGTTGTACTTTAAGAAATTAAGAGTAATATTATTTTTTACATTCTCATAATGAAAAAAAAAAAAAAAATGTGTTTCGCTGGAAAAAAGAAGGAATGATAGAAAGAGGGTTAAGAAAGAGAGAAAAAAAATACAAAGAGACAAAGAGGATTAGGTTTTTGTTAGAAAAAGAATTAGGCCTTAGTTAAAAATAAAGGTAAGAATCCATAGAAGAGAAAAGTTCACGGGGAATAGAGGAAAAAGGAAAAAGAGACAAAAAGAAATTTATTGTGAAAAGAAAAGAAAAAGTATTTAGGGTTTGTGAAGAATAAGAAGAAGAAAGAAAAAAGGAGGATGAAGAATAAGAGAGAAAAAAGGGGGGAGAGAGAGAGAGAGAGAGAGAGAGAGAGAGACCATTCACCGGTTGGGTCAACAAGAGAGTCAAAGATGGTCGTTCAAGGGTTCGAACCTATGAACTAAAATATAAGAATAAATATCTAATTGTTTGAATATAAAATTGTTTTATGAAACACCTAGTTTTTAAGTAATTATGTAATTAGACAACTCCTAATATTTACACTTCAACTCAACATTGTTTCTAAAACTTTCTTAAAAATTCCAAAGATTTGAGACACGCGTGTCGGACATGTATCCATGGCTTGTCGGAAGTGTGTCCGGATATTTGAAAAAATATAAAATATTCGGACACATATTTTGGCATGTCCGGCGCGTGTCGGTGTCCTACACGGATTCTTTGCCCTTTTAGGCGTGTCTGTGTGTAGCACTCATCGATGAGAAAATTAGATAGTTTAGAGTTAGATGGTTTGGATACATACATCAAAGACCTAGAGGCGCCCGATTAAATGAGGAAGACTAGTTGTAATAGAATGTAAGAGTTGGAGAGGGCGACCAAAAATTACATTGGATGAGGTTATTAAAAATTACTTAAAGAAGTTAATAGGGTAGGTGAATGGCATGCAATAGAAAAGCTTGGAGAGAGAATTCATGCGGCCGGCCCCATTCATAAGGGATTAAGGCAAGGATGATGACGACGACAACCCATTACAACTGCTTATTCCCTTGTGAAATATTGGATTGGAAGCAATATGCCTGACTGCATGACTTAAAACATACCCACACCACCTGTCATAAACCCCATTTTCTGTAGAAGATGCTTGATGGACATCATTATTCATGTAGTAATTAGTATGATGTGTAACTTTGTACTAAGCCAGTTCTAAATGGTCCCAGAATAATCAGCTTTCTTTTTCTCCTACAATCAATCTCAAGAAAAGGAAAAAGAACAAAAGTTGGCAGTGTAATGAACTGACCTGATTGTTTGTTTATAAAGCTGTTGTATAGAAATTGTATGATTTTGCATAAGCATTCTGGAGTCTCTCTTATCCTGACTCTGTTGTATTACTTCATTGGCAGAGTATATGCAAAGTGGTAGAGCAACAGAAAAGACTGACGTTTATAGTTTTGGGGTGCTGGTGCTTGAAGTAGTGAGTGGAAAGCGGCCCACTGATGCATCCTTCATTGAGAAGGGCCTCAACATTATTGGCTGGGTATTTATCTTCTCTGCACTTGTTTAGAGCGCTTTCTGCCATGGAGTCATTGTCTTCTTCTGGAATTGTTTCTGGTGATGCATAGTTTTTTTCAAATGAATTTGACTTCTATCATGTGGCTAGACTATTAAGGGCATGGTGCATTAGCAGAGTAGTTTTATTAATTAGACAGCTAAAAAGTGGATTACACATTGATGCATGTTTTCAAATTAGTTTTAGTTAACATCACTTTAGCTGTTAAATTACTTTTTGTCCCTGCTGCACAAACACTGACTTGAGATACACGGAGACTACGATGTCCTTGTGATGTTAAACAGAGTTTCACTGAAGCTGGATATTATTAGGTCTATTACTGCTATATCTGCTGAGAGTTGGTAGTTCTAATTTCTATCCCAACAAGACATTCAATGCCACCTCAAGTGCTTGATGATAAATTATTTTTATCTTAAACCTGGAAATTTTAGTTCCTTTTTCTCGTTTTACTCAGTGTGGGATTTAGTTCTTCTATGCATGTGAAATTCATAGAAGAAACAAAATCAGGTTATTAAATAAAAATTATTAACAAAAAAGGTTACAAGATAAGTTCATCTTTTGAAGTATTAGTTAAAATATGAATAGTATTGTTGTAGACTTAATTAATTGCTACTAAATGGATCCTTGGGAGGAACAAGGATTTCACTCACATGGTCATTCTCTCATTAGAGAGGAAAAGTGAATCTTCCTAACAGATGTCTTCTCTTATAAGATAATAGTGGCGACACTTGACACAAATTCATAGGGCATGGGATGGCTGGTTTAGGATGTTTGATTAACTTCAAAAAAAAAAAAATTTGCCCTTTTAAACCATATATCTATATGCTCTTTTGTTTTACTAATCATTTTTTTGGAAAATGGTTTTTCTAATTCAATTAGTTTATATATGACATTAACACATTCATGCAGAGGACCCCTATACACCCTACATGCCAGTGCAACATTCAAATGACCATAGGTCACTTCCACTTTTATTGATCCTCCTCTTTTCTTTTCTTTTTTTGCAGTTAAATTTTTTAGTTACAGAGAATCGACAACGGGAGATTGTTGATTCACGCTGTGAAGGGGTTCAGGCAGAAAACCTTGATGCCCTGCTTTCAATTGCTATTCAGTGCGTGTCCTCAGCCCCAGAGGATCGGCCTACCATGCACAGGGTGGTCCAAATACTAGAATCTGAGGTCATGACCCCATGCCCAAGTGACTTTTATGATTCCAACTCTGAATGAAAACGCTGAGGAAATGGAGAAGATCATCTGTGTTTTGCATCTTATATATCACTGTTGATTAAAGCAACAAAGTAGAGAAGGATGCATGCAGTTAAAGGGGATCAGAATCTCTAAAAGTTCATTTTTTTTCCCTTCAATTATTCATTCTTTCTGCATAGTTATGACAGAAGATGCCCCTTTCATCTGTGCCCATTCTCCTCAAAACCTGAGCAATTAGTTCTTCGTAACCGGATTCAGGGTCCATTCCCTAGTTTTTGTGTCCTCACTTGGCGTGGATGCTTGCTGTGTTCCCTTTCTCCACATGATTGAAATTTCCACTTCTGGTGTGAGTAATTAGTTCCATCACTTTTCTGTTTATTTTTTTCCTTTTTTGCCTTTTCTTTTCTTTTTTTATTTTTATTTTTCCTTCTCCTTTTGTAATCTCCCTGGCTATATTATCTCAAATTTAAGTGTATATGACATAATTTAAATTAATTTTATGCCACCCTTTGCGAAGGATTCTTCTGTTGTTGATGCTGTTTTTGTATAATATTTTTCCAGTTGCAATAATTGATCACTGGATGAATGCAAGTTGTTTATCATGTTAGCCTTTTGTTGAAATGATTTATTGTGTTATGTAAATAGGTAACCATTTATAGAAATATATTACCTCTTTTATCTCTTCTTTTATCGAGTGGCTTACTTCAGTCTCACTCGATTGATATGGAATTTCTAGAAATTTAGCTGGAAGTGTGCAACATTACATATAAATCATAGAACCCCCATGAAAATAGAAACTCAATGTGAAAGGACAGTCGCGCAAGCGACTGGAATTAACAGTCCTCAAATCATGTGAACAGATCTTAAAAATTAAAAAATTGCTTGTAGATTTGATTTGATTAACATAATATATTATTGATCCTTCTCCCCCGTTGCCTTTTCTATCTTCAAGTCGAGTTTATGTCTTTTAAATACCAATGCAGCCGGATATGGTGCTTTAATATACATCTTGATGGTACCCACTGGTTCGAGCTTCAACCATAAGCTAATGGGGCTTTTTGTACACAAGAAGAATATGCACCAAATGTTGACCTCCCCATATGTGCCTTGTTATTTTGGTTATTATTTTGTGTAGTCTGATCAATCTAAATCTATTTCCAAGGGTCTAACAAATCCTTTATCATTCTCATGCACAACTTGCTCTACAAATCCAAAGAACTCAAGAAAAGCGGTAAAATTAATGTTTTCAATCTTAATTTTGTTACTTCTAATCTGAGTATTCCTCTTGACAGCTCTGTATTTAATCACCCACTCCGCTCAACCACAATCATTCCACGACCATCTTATTTAGGTAAAATCATTCCACGACCATCTTATTTAGTAATTACCTATCTACATAAAGTATTCAATAACACAGTGGACATTTTAAATGAGAACTATTCATTTCAAGTTCTATTTACCTAAAAAAAAACAATCCAAAACCTGAGGATGGTAAAAGAGGTCTAAACATCTCTCTAAAGAGCTCTTTCTCTCTCATCTATCTTCTCTGTAGTTTATTGTAAAAGGCTGGTTAGTTTGGTTATTTTAGCACAATTAATATATTTTTAATATAAATTAATTAAATAATAAGGGGCAATTTTTGACATTTCAACTAGAGTGGTGTTTCTGTCCAAAAATTCTTGTTCTTGATCAATTTCTCGATGTCAATTGACACCCAATTAACCCCCTAATTAAAGATACAATTACTAAAATGTCAACTATACCTCCTTTTCGATTCAAAATACTATGCCTCCAAAATAGAACCGAATGAAACTAAAGGTTGTTACTACAACCAAACCTTTCCCTCTAGCAATTTGTATCCAACTCTCTAATTTATTTTTATTTTTATTTTATATTTTATTTTTTCATTAGAAACAATAGAACCATCATATCCCATCTAAGGATATCACCCAATCTTCTACCCCAATGTTCGGCCTATCTTCCGCACCCAATGTTATCAATTCAGGGCGTAAATCCTCTGCTGTGCGATTTCAATGCTGTCTCCCACAGTGAATATTAAGTGGTCTTGGTTTGGCCACGTTTTACTCCACTTAATAGACACTAAGAATGTGTTGGACAATTACAGTACTATTTATAAGTAATATTTCACCACCATTTATAAGTAACATCATAGGAGTCTAAAAAGTAACATCACCATTTGTAAGAGGATAACACTATTGCTTAAAAAGTAAAGGTTGTTGACAGTCAAATACCTCATAATCCCCTTCAAAATCCTCTTTAAATTAACATGCGACTATTTTTTTTTGGATGTTCTATTTTTTATGATAAAATTTAACTTTAAAAATATATAAATAATATATTGAATTGAGTTAGATTTATGTGTGACTATTAGTTTTTTAGCACTATGTGAATTCCTTTTTTTTTATGGTGAAGGTGGTGAGTGTGACAATTAATATTAAACTTTGCCAATTTTTTTTCTTTTGATGGTGAATGTGGTGAGTGTGGTAATTAATATTAAACTTTGCCAAATTTTTTTCAAAGATATGTTAAATAATTTATACCCAAGTGTATGCTTTTTTAATATTTGAAAGAAGATTAAAAAAAAGAAAAGATGTGTCTCTTTTCATTATTTTTTGAAATAACAAGTGTTTTGTTTGTTATCTAAAGTTAATCCAAGTGATTTTAATTTTGGTTTAAATTCTTTAAATTAATATGTTAAAGTGTTTTTAAAATACTTTAATTTCAAATTATAACATAAATGATATGTTGAGTTCAGTTACGTTTGTATGTGACATTACTTAATCTGCATTATGTGCATACCTTATTTTGAGGGTGAAGATACTTATAAATGGTGGTGAATTGAGTTACGTTTGTATATGACATTACTTAGTCTGCATTATGTGCATACCTTATTTTGAGGGTGAAAATACTTATAAATGGTGGTAAATGTTACTTATAAATGGTGGTGTAATTGCCAAACTGTAACGACCCGAACTCAAGGGTCCAAATCGCTAACCGGGTCCTTATCTGAACCCGAGGTCAACTAAAGGTACTACCGTCCTTTCCTATATCGATACATAATAATAATAATAATAATAATAATAATAGTAATAATAATAATAATGGGATCATAGCTATAAAATATGTCAAAATAGTCTACTAACTCGTCAAAACCTATGGAAGAGCGTCGTCCGCCACTTCTCTTCCGTATCCTGAAAAATGTTAATAATAAAATAGGGTGAGCATAAGCTTAGTAGGAAGTGTTTAAGACACACTTCTTATGACCTCGTGAATCCACGTATAAAATAGAAAACAAGTGAACAGGATCATACTATACCAAAGATGTATACCAGAACCACAACATCCAATATAAACACATATGCCATTTAAGTCACAAACACACCATGTATGCCAATGAAGTGCAATGCCATGCTCATGTTGCTCCCCACTTTCGAAACATTTCTGTTTCAACATCCAAACCGTTAGTGTAATCCGACCCAAGGCTCCTTCAAGGGGTCATGGGGAGGGGTTGGCTAGTTTTTTCCCGACCACTTGGCACTCCATGGCGTCGTCTGGGTAGCTCAACCACATTAGAGTCTCTCTCTAACTCCCTCTAGATCACACTAACACCACGGACCACTAGGCGCCTCCTAGGTGTTCGGGTTTTCATAAACACTTTCGAAAACGTTTTCCCTAAAACAATTTCAATGGTTTTTTAAAAAAAAACTTTTTTTTTTTTTTTTTTTTTTTTTTTTTTTTTTTTTTTTTTTTTTCAATGGATGCATGAATGCTTCATGCTTCACAATTTACCATAATTTTCACATCATTAAATCTTAACAACTTTTCATAATAAAGAAGAATTTTCTCATGAATTTATAGTATGTTTTAAATCAACAAAATTTCTATAATTATACATATTAAACAAGAACAGAATCACAAAAACATACTTTCCATATCCAATCAACAAATCATACACACATATATTATTTACACATAACACACATAGAGATACATATCATATATCTACCATTATGGCAATTTTTCAAGAAAAAATTACAATAAATCCCATACATTCCATCTACATTACAATAAATCCCATACATTCCATCTACATCATGATTACATTATTATGGGGAAATCTTAACATTTATTTTCATAATTTCAACATTACTTTTCTTAACAATTAAAAATCATGGGGCATCTAAAATGTCAATACTAAACATGTATCTTCACAACCAAATATATAATCCTAATCATAGGTTCAATTAACACATATAATACATTCATTACCTTAATTACATACAACCATAACAACATAGACAAAATTGCTAAAATCAAACATGCTTAGAATCAAATTAACGGGAAAAAATCACAAAAGATAAAAAAAAACATGACTTAGAGCACCCCTACCTCAAAAGATGCAAAAACCCCAATTCTAAGCCCAATTTTCGAAAATTCTATGGTTGGCTATAGATGAAATTGCTTACATTAACTTGATGATATAACAATGTAATAAGTTAGTGCTTTGTGGGGCCCAGCAGAAAAATAAAAATAAGAAATATTACAATCTACCCTCCTTAAAAAGATTTCGTCATCAAAATCTACCCTCTTTAAAAAAAGGAGGCCCATAACCATACCCCTTCCCGAGAACACCTCACAGAACCCCAAAACCATGAACTCACCAACATATTGACTTTGACACTGGACATCACCAGGCAATCACACACCACTGTCACAAAAACACAATGCTCACTACCCTATAAGGGTACTCATTACTCACGACATCAGAACACGAGACCAACTAGACTTTACACCCGACTCTCAATGGACATTGGTCCACTCTACACTGCTACGTAAGACTTTGGAGCCCGAAAGACAAACGGTCACTAGACCACCGAACATAACAACATCCAAACTCCACTCATCCTCTAAATTACACACAAAACCCCAGACTACGAACCCCGTCCATCTTACAGTCAAGCTTAAACTCAAATCTACATATCCCTGTCAAATCGAACACTCACTACCTAACACTTAACTACACCATAACATACCCGTACAACGACTACCAACCACATCAAGCGGCAATCACTAAACTTATCATCCTCAAGATGACTAAATAATGAATCTCCTAACAATAATACAATCATTAGTCACCAAAACAATAAAACAAATTATCCTGCACCCAAGTCACAAATCCTCAAAACAAGATCTTTAATAATCAAACGGATTGGACACTTGGTCCCACCTAACATACCTCGTCACCCGGGATAAACCATCTGAATCCACCCTGTCACACCGACACATCGCGCAATACTGTACTCTTACTGTTTCTGACAAACTAAAAAAATCATGGACCTTTGACTCGACATCGTGCTAAAGATGGACTGACTCAGGAGAAATGGTTGGCCAAGCCATTCTCATCATCAATCCAATCTCAACACAGACGTCGTTCCTGTCTTCAGGTCTAAACCTCAAACACATCCCCGCACAGTCCACAAAATAACTAAGAGATCCACTTACTATCCACCC